ATGGATATATCAACAATCCTACTCAACAACATTCTGCAAGCGTCGAGCGTGAAATGCGCAGACAAATTGGTTGCCTTAGTAATGGTTATAAGTATATTTCAATTTTGCTTACTCTAATAAAAAATTTGGCTTGCATGTTAAGCTTTCAAAATTTCAATTTTGACATCACCGCCGAGAGCTGCCGCAGGACGTTCAGCTTCGCGGAGTATTTGGTTCTGACGGGGAAGGGGAGAGCGAAAAGGGGAGCGGAGAAAGCGAGAGCGAGTCGAGAGTGAGGGGAAGTCTAAAGGTAGTCAAAGTAGAGAGTGAGGAACGAGCTTTTGGGTTTCTGCAAGTCAACTTCTTCACGGGAAGAAGATGATTGGGAGCAAATTTCAATTAATCATCACAATTTTTAATTATTTTAATGCCATGTAATCACTGACACTTTATTTTAACCGGGTCAAGTCATAATTTTAAGAGGTAAGTGTGCCTGATTGCAATATGTTTTAGATGGTGGAGTGAATTGAACACTTCAAGATAGTAGATATGCATATTTGACACTTGTGCTTAATTATTATCTTTTCTTCTTTTGTAGAGAATTCTACCTGGGAGATGCGGCAATCAATTAGTTTAATAAAGTCAAAAATGATTAGTAAAAATAGACTTCATTAAAAAAAAATAGTGACATTGTACAACCATCAATTGCTAATTCCAGTACTATATTGAATTGTGGTTAGTTTAGTTCATAGCTTCACATAATGAATCATGTTTATAATTATTGTAATTGTGTGTTCTTTTGGAAGATACAAGTACAAGAGAATGAATATCTAACTATATATTCAATCTAATATTCATCTTTCCAAAACAAGCAGAGCGCAAAAACATTCAGTATCCGACTCACTGAATATACATGACACTTATAATATGAGTAGCGTATCAATTAAGTACGTCATTTACGAATCATATATTTTATTTAACTATTCAAGTAACAAAATTCTTGAAAGTTATGACTTATTTGTTTTTATATGACTATAAATAGGGAGCCAGCTCATTACAGAACCGATCAACCATAAGATTACAAGCCAGTTAACACATATTAGGAGTGATTACTCAACTGAATGTCGAAACCTACACAATGAGTTCAATGAAGCAATTGAACAAGAGCAAATCACACATAATATTCCAGTTGGTTAGTTTCGCTCTTACAAATGTTTTTTTGGATGAAATATAGATTTCGGGTTTTTAAATAGAAGTTGTTAACCAAAATTCTAACAATACTTTTTATTTGTTGACACAGTCAATTACGCTGATTTTGGTGACCCTATTGATTCATGTGTACCTACATTGTGCGGTGTTTTGGAACCGCAAGAAGTCCAAGGTTAATGGGATTGTTAAATATTCCTTATGTTGCAGCCTTAGAAAGATCAAATTACATATGTCTACAACATCGCCCAAAAAATTATATAACTTATTCTTTTATCCAGGGGACAAACGAAATCATTTTTTAGAGAATATTAGGTCCTATAACAATATGTTTTGTTTTACGTTGATGGGTGAGAAAGTTGATAGAACAGTTAATACTGGTGGTGCCCCACCAGTGTACCGAATAAATGGCCAAAATTTCCACCTGATAGGAAGTCTATTACCTGCTGATGGTGCACATATGAAGTTTGCTCAGATGTACATCCATGACACGCCGAATGAGATTACCAATCGTCTTAATTCAATAATGTACATTTCTTTTGTTTTCATCATGTATCTTATTTTATTTTTAAATATTGTTTTCATTTTTTAAAGTATACGAAAAGTAATTTATTTTTTTTCTTTTTACGTACGGGCAATAATGATCAAAATTCAATATTAATTTGTGGTGAAGCACAAAATAATGGTACTTCTACTCAGTGGCGGATTCAAAAAAAAATTTTTCCACGGAGGGCAAAACATTAAAGCAAAAATGATAATTAGAAACAAAAATGAAAAACTGTACTTAAAAAGTATAGCAATAAATATTGTTGGATATAGGTAAATTATAAAACACATCAAAATATTATAAAAATATTCATAACAAAATATGAACATAATCAATTTGATAAAATAATTTTAATAAAAAATTCACTATAAATTACACGTCTCATCTCATTATTAATATAAATAAAGATTTTATATATATATATATATATATATATATATATATATATATATATATATATATAGAATAAAGTTCAAATGCGGCGGGGTCTTCCCGTGCGGCGGTGCGGCGGAATTCCAGAATACACCAACAGTGTTAACAATATGCACCAACAGTGTAATAAAAACACACCACAATGAAATGCAATAAAACATCACAAAATACACAACATACTCAAAAAAAATACACCATATAACTCACCACCCCCAATGGTGTATTTCCGAACAGTGTATGGTGTTTTTACTCACACCTAATGGTGTGTGTTTGGTGATGCAGGGCTCTGTTTACTCTGTTTTGTATGGTGTATTTTCCTAACGTTGATGGTGCATATTTGTTGAACTATTGGTGTTGCCGCACTGTAAGAAATCGCTGCACCGTAAGACACTGCCGCACCTGAACTCGCATATATATATATATATATATATATATATATATATATATATATATATATATATATATATATATATATATATATATATATATATATATATATAGGGTGAATCAACGATTTGGTCCCTCACTTATTCGCGACTTGTCAATGTTGCCCCTGAATCACGTATTCATCAATTTAGTCCCCGAAAATAATTGTTTTTCGTCAAATCAGTCCCTATGGCCGTATTCCGTCAAGTCTCAGGCGAGAGCTCCGATTTGCCCTGGGCATTTTCGTCATTTCAATTCGGGACCTAAGTCGCTCAACTCCTTAACGAAGGCCATGATGGCGGATCTAGCTCAAGGTTTTAAGTCTCTGAGCGCAGACAAATCGGTTCGGGTCATCATTCTCACCGCCTCCGGCGCTTCTTTCTGCTCCGGAGTCGACTTGACAGCCGCTGAGGATGCTTTCAAAGGTGACGTCAAGGACGTTGAGGCTGACCCTGTGGCCCAGATGCAACTCTGCCCTAAACCCATCATCGGAGCAATTGCCGGCTTTGCTATCACTGCTGGCTTTGAGATCGCCCTCGCTTGCGACATATTGGTTGCTTCCAACGATGCTAAGTTCATGGATACTCATGCAAGGTTTCATCTTAGATTCTTTTTTCTAGTTATAGTTGCTTGCACTATGTTGCGTTATAATATGCAAATTACCCGCTTTCATGTTTGTCTCTCATTCTTAGTTTTGTCAAATTAGCTCAATTTGGATGCTTGATGTTACAATTTGAATCCTAATGCTGATGTTAAAAATATTTTGTAAAATTCCTTTGCTTTGGATTTGTCTCTGTGATCGATCATTCCTGGGTTAGACCAATTTGATCAATTTTTAGATGGCTTTAGTTTGTTCAGAGCATCCCCAAAGCTCTCTGCATCTCCTAGTAGATACTGTCCCTTGAACAAACCTACCCCATTCACCCCCACACCTAATCACTCACCCTATCCTATGGGATTGAAAAGAGTAAGATTTTTATCACTTTTAAATGTACTCACACAGTATTTGGTTGGACCGACCACTTTGAATAAGATGGATACCAACCGCTAAGGCATTGAGTACTTATAATATCTCTAGGAATTGTTTCTTGAGTGCTAGTCCTAGAGCACAATCTATCTGCTTCAATGTTGCCTTGACTTGTCACTGTCCTATACAAATTGATGATATGCTACAATATCAGTTTTCCAATTCCAAACAGGAGATAACATGATTTAATAGGTGAAATAGACAAATAGTTCTCCCCTACCATGAATGGTTTATGGTTGCAAAAAACTTCTGTAGTCATTTGTGTAAAAATAACAGTAAGTTGAATGGTTTTATGTATGTTAGATCAATCTATCAATGGACACTCTTATTGTTTCTGCAGGTTTGGGATATTTCCTCCTGGGGTCTATCTCAGAAGTTTTCACGCGTAATAGGGCCCAACAAAGCTCGTGAAGTGTCACTTACTGCAACACCTCTAACTGCTGACAAAGCAGAAAGGCTGGGTTTTGTGAACCGTGTTGTAGAAAGAAGTGAAGTATCAAACCCATTAATCCTCCGACTCCTCATGGTGTTGCTCCAATGCTTATGATTTTGCTAGGATTTGGTGGAATTTGGTTGGGTTTAGGGTTAGGGCTGCGATTTTGGTTCAAACAGACTAAGAGACTAATTTAGACTAAGAGAGGAATATACAAAGCGAATTGAGATGACGAAAATGCCCAGGGCAAATCGGAGCTCTCGCCTGAGACTTGACGGAATACGGCCATAGGGACTGATTTGACGAAAAACAATTATTTTCGGGGACTAAATCGATGAATACGTGATTCAGGGGCAACATTGACAAGTCGCGAATAAGTGAGGGACCAAATCGTTGATTCACCCTATATATATATATATATATATATATATATATATATATATATATATATATATATATATATATATATATATATGAAATTGTGTTGAAGCAATACGCAAACAAAATAATAGTGCAAATATAGTGTTAAGAGCATATGAAAGGATTCAAACCCTAGGTTACCATAACCTCAAACAAACACTTAGCCAACTAGGTTAACCCATCTTCTTATTACATTTGTCTATTTCCTAATACTTATACTAAAACTTGTACTATATATACATATATACATACAAGGGTTATATAAGGGGTGGGAGTGGGGTGGGGGTGGGGTGATCGAGTGGGTACAGCTGATCCCACTGCCGCCACTGTAGGTCCGCCCCTGCTTGTACTACTAATACAGTTTACAAGGAGGTTTTGTAATTTAGTCGATCTTTCTTTAAATAATTTAATATGTTATTTTCTCTATTTTTTTTTTGGGACAACAACGCTTTATTTTTATTTTATTTTATTTTATTTTGAAACAACGCTTTATTTTATTTTATTTTATTTTGAAACAACGCTTTATTTTATTTTATTTTATTTTATTTTGAAACAACGCTTTATTTTTATTAAAACTGTATTTACCCAGTGCATCGCACGGGACAATATCTAGGAATATAAATACTTGAATACAAATATAAGAGTTAGTATTTGGGCAATGCCACTAAATAGTGGTCCGGGTGAGTGTTGGGTGGTGGAGATCCTTTAAGAAATGCCTTAAAAAGTGTGAGAGCTTTTGAGGGAGATGAATTTGGGACAAAATGAGATCCACCCCTTACTGTTGCAAATGTCAAATTTGCCACCTTTTCACCTCCACCCGAATTTCCGAATGTTTGACTCCATCCTCCAATCTACAACAACCAAAACAAAACAACAAAACAACTAAACTTACCCAATTTCTTTTATTTTTATTTTTATTTTTCGTTTATTGCACTTTGTTTTGTTTGTTTGTTTTTTTTTCAAGTTTCTTAGTTAGGTAAAGTGGTATACCTGCTTGCCATCATACCAAGGTTCATTCATCTCCATAGTGGTTAGGTTCAAGCGTGTAGCAAGCACGTTTGCAAGTTCTCTAGTGTGTGACACAGGGATCCTTAAATCTTCATCTCCACTACAACATAGTGTAACTCTAATTATAGTTAATAAATAACTTGGGCAATGGCATATATATGTATATATATATTCTCTATCTAATATATGAATCTGATGATGTTATATAATGAACCTGTAAATCAGAAGTGGGATACCCCTCTTTAGAAGTGCTGACAATGTTGGCAATATGTCAATAGCAAGGTTGTTCAAAATCATATTCCTCCTGCATTTTTCATAGTTGATTATATATAGATGGAGTTTTAGCACACAATTACAATTAAGTGATTTCAGACACAATAACAGAATAGATTATTACAAACTTAATTAAATACCCATGAAAAATAGAATCCCAAGTAGATGCATTGGCATGTAAAGCTTCCTGAACTTCTGGCCTGCTTAAGTAGTCATCTACCCAAGTAAGAAGGCATGGATCAGCTTTGGCTGTTTCAGTACCAAGCTATATATGCATGGCAGAGAAGAAACAAACAATTAAGATTGAAAAAAAATACTAGTATATATATATATAATTGGTAACTTACACAATGTCGTTGAGATGATGAGTATTGGTCGGTTTGGCATGATTGAAAGAGTAAATTGTCCTTATGCATATCATCCCCAATTTCCTCCGAAATCATAACATTTATGTCAGAGCAATCTTCCGACATTTCTCCGCTTAATATTTCCTGAACCATTCTTGTTGAATCACACTGTCTCTTCTGCAGATGGTACAGTTCTGTAGAAATGATCCCGTAGTGCCACAGATGCTCAACATTAGATAAACCCATCTTTTCTAGAAGTGGGTTCCCAAGCTGAAATGTTTTTTTTTTTTTTTTTTTTTTTTAATTTTTGAAAAAAAAAATGAGTCATTTTCGCTCGATCATACAAAATTACATATGATGCAGAAGATCATGAGAAGAAGAATTGATGGATGGAAGCAACAAACTCACAGCAATTCCTTTGAGCTTTATTGGTCTCACATGCACTGGTTTTCTGTTGTATTCAAGTATTAATTCAGCAAGTTGTGGTGCCAAGTGACCTACATGCATGTATGATATTGTTAGGATTAAGCGCTTACCACTCACGCCAAAAACTATAGCTAGTAGGAATGACGCAATTTATTTCGTTACTTATAGACTGTTAATCTGCTATCACATTGTTCTAGAAAGACTGGGTGCTGGACTTGGCCCTTAGAGTTTTACCCGTCTCCCCTAACAATCCCCAGCTACCGGTACTCAACATGGCCCTTTTACCGACCCTGCCCGACTGATATAATAATTACAAAAAAAATGTATTGTACTGTACTGCAGTGTTTACCTCCATAACTATCTCCGGCAATGTAAAAATCTAGGTCTCTGTATTCAGAGAATTCAATAAACCACTTTCGAAGAAACTTCAAATTTTCACGGGCTGCAGCATAAAAATGGCAAACAAATTAAATAAAAACGCTAAATCTAATTTAAACATACAAATTAAAGTGAAAATGCATGCATGAATAATGATGTGATCCAAGTTGCATGGCACCTTACGTACCTGTCATGGTATCACTCCATATTTTATAATCTGAGCTTGTATTGGAGTATGAAAATGCAACTCCAATAGGAGTGTCTACGTATAACATGTTCGACGCTGCTCATTTCAACATAAGTTAGTCAATATAATACAAATTCATGTAATAATAAGGTTGTGTTTAGTTTATGGGTTAGACCCAAGGAATGTGAATGAAAGTCATACACGTTGTTTGGTTGACAATTTTTAAAACACAGATATATTATTTCATTAATTCAACCTTATACCTCCTCATTTCGTCACCTCCACACTCATCTCTCCTCACATCATCTACTTCAATTCATCGGTGCATTGCATACTCACTGCATCGCCACTCAAGATCAATTGTCACGATTTTTTGTTTTTCTATTTTTAAAACATTTATTCCGATTATAAAGTCATATACTCATATGTAACCAAACATCAATATTAATAATTATTCCAATTACACCTTACTACCAAGATCATGTTCTAGTCTGCTTGTTGGTTTAAGTAGGCGTGCTCGGGTTACTAGCTTAACAATGAGTCAGAAGGTCCCGGACTCAAGATATGTGTATGCAAGGTGCCAAAAGTCCCCTCTTCGCCATAAATACGGTATTTATAGGAGAGACAAAGGAGACACATGCTGGGCCTCCGGCATGCCTGCCACGTATCGTGCATGCAGTGGTCGAGGTCAAGAGTCGCGCCTCACCAGCCACATGTATTAAGATTCATGAATCTTTCGGGCCGTCGCTATTGAATTTGGCCAAAGGAACTAAGCTTAAGGCTCTAAATACCATAGGTCGGGTGGTCGGCCCCAACCTGATATGGTCGGGTGAGATAATGAGAAACAGGCTTTGCTGGCGAGTGAGGCGGCTATGTTCGGTCTGCGATCTAGATCGGGTTAACGTGAAAAGTGGTCGGTCATGCTCGAATATAGCTTTACTCAGTAGGCCGGCAACTTGATATCGATCATGTATAAGATACGGTGTGATTGAGAATAATCCATATCAATTCCATTCCCATGTTCAAACCAAACACACCCTAAAAACCATACATACAAAACAAAACATTAATCATTACCTAAATTCCAAGAAAACTGGTTCTTTACCAGCTCTCCATCTTCTGTCGGCCTAAATGGACCATTTTCGTAGAACATCCCAATAGCAGCACTGGAACAATCATGACCTGATTTTAACACATCCAAATAAAACCCTCAACTCTTTTATATTTGGCAATAATTAAAATAAAGATGAGATGAGAAAAGAAGAGAAGAGAAGTTAGCATATATAAACCCTAAACTAACCTCCCCCCAGCCAAAGTGTAAGCGGCATTGAGAATTTATCTTCTGATTGGGCTTCTGCAAAATAGTAGAATAGAGCTCTGCCACGAAATTTATGTGTAACAATATACCCAGAGTACTGATTGAAGTCCACATCCGAGGGCTGCCCCGGGAGAGAATCTATTATTTCACCATTAATCCTTATTGAGATGGAATATAGTGTATTCACCAACAAGAACCATAATAAGAAAACCATTATTTTTTAAATGATATCTATGATGAAAGTGAAGGCCTAATTAAGTTTTTAATCACCTACCTATATAGCAATGGGATTATATTTCATTCTGAGTATTAAGAAGCAGATGGATGGCTAAGTTTGTTAGGAGTTCATTAAATTATTACTTACACATAGAAAGTGTGGGGAAGAAAATATGGTGTATGGGACAGTACAACCTAACAGATCAGATATGATGTTTTGTTCTTTGTTAGTAGTTGATTATACAAATTAAACAACAAAGTGAAACAGAATAAAGATAAACATTAACAACGCGTTTGGTTTGGAGAAATGGAATTGAAATTCCATAAAAAATAAATTACAGAAAAATAGATTTCATTGTTTGATTAGTTGAAAAGAAATAAATGGAAATATAAATTACATTGTTTGTTTGGATTTGGAAGGGTAAGGGATAATGAATATAAAGACAATAATATCCCTACAGAATAATAACAACAACAATAATAATGGTAATTAAAAAAAGAATAAGAGTAAAATAGGTCATCCAACTGCACACGATAATGCAATTAGCCCCGTGAACCTAAAAATTCAACAATTAAGTCCATATACTAATCAAATTCATGCAATTTCTTCAATTTGCAGGTTTCCAACAGGTCATCTCAAATTAAATTATTTTTTAAAAAAAATAAAAAATTAATTATTTAAAATTAAAATTTAAATAATTTAAAAAAAAAAATAGAACTTCAGGTCTGAGACGTCTCTGTCCAAACGAAGCTTCGTCTCCATCCAAAATAATTTAATTTGGGATGACCTGTTGGAAACTTGCAAATTGAAGGAATTGCATGAATTTGGTTAGTTTAGAGACCTAATTGTAAGTTTTTTTAGGTTCAGTAGCCTAATTGCATTATCGTTTGCAGTTCGATGGCCTATTTGACCCTTATTCTATTAAAAAAAGTTGGTGAGGATATAATTGTCCTCATTATTTTTTATGGAAAACAAAATACCAAGAGGACAAGGAAAATGTTTTCCAATGAAATCCATCCAACCAAACAAAGGAAAATCTTACTTTTCTCAAATTCAAAGAAAGCATTTTCCATCCAACCAAATAACTCCTAAAATAGCATGATTTCGTAGTGTATTTGATGTTGTATATCCAACTTTTTTGAAGGTCAATCATGCGATTGTATTAATGAATCAAAGCCGAAATAGCGTCAGGTGGGATAGAATCCCAGTACATAGCTTGATCCTGTGTAAATGCTAACGAAGCTAAAGTATGCGCGTGTAAATTAACCTGTCTAGAGACATAATTTAAAGTAATACGATCAAATAAAGACATAAGAGTTCTGCATTGGTCAACCGTGACCCCAACGTATGAACGAATCGGCGTGTGATGGTGTCGGATAATTGTAGTCAACTCCATGCAATCCGTGAGTAAACTTACTGATGTGTTGTTCCGTTCAAGTAGCCAAGACAGTGCTTCCTTGTACGCCTGCACCTCCGCCATAAGTGGTGAGAAGCAAACCGGTAACTTGCCATTTTTTGCTGTCACAAAAGAACCATCTGGCGCTACTAGTAATATGCCGTACGTAGCCTCGCCCGTGCCGTGACGGAAGCCCGCATCCACGTAACACCGCAGGCCGCCACCTCCCGGCTCGGTTGATGTCGCCGACGCCGCAACCGGATGGGTGCGGTAATCCTGGGCAGCACCGTATGCCTGAAGTGCTGCGGCTGCTGCCCTGCCAACTTGGGTTGGCCGCGTCATAGATCCCTTCCAAACAGTTGAGTTTCAGGTTCTCCAAATATAGTATAACACCGCTACCATCAATCGGGTTTGCTCCTCCGTCAAGACCGCCAAAGCCCCTTTTAGCCATGATGTAAAAGAGTCTGCAATAATATTAGTGATAGGCAATTGTGTTACATTCCAAACACGTGTAGAATATTTACAGAGCACTAAAAAGAAATAAATGGAAATATAAATTACATTGCTTGTTTGGATTTGGAAGGGTAAGGGATAATGAATATAAAGACAATAATATCCCTACAGAATAATAACAACAACAATAATAATGGTAATTAAAAAAAGAATAAGAGTAAAATAGGTCATCCAACTGCACACGATAATGCAATTAGGCCAATAAACCTAAAAATTCAACAATTAAGTCCATAAACTAATCAAATTCATAAAGAAACATTTTTTTTGTCACTTTCAGTCACCCCTGAGTCTATAATTCTACCTTGTTATTTGAATTAGTAGTGGTCTTACCAATTGCTCTAAATTCTGGGGCTCTGATCATCCCTTGTAAAATCGGTTAGACAATTGTTTTCTTATTATTAACTAATTTCATGGGTTAAAATTGAACTTATTTAAAAAATTGGTCCAAAATAATTTAACTTATTGTAAGAATTAATTTATGGAATACAAATGGAAACAGAACATGAGGGATAACATAAAAATGAGTTAATTATTGAAATGGTCCCTTAACTATAACAAAATTACCAATTTGAACCTTGACTATTTTTTTTTAACCAATTAAGTCCCTTAACTTTAAAAATCTTAACTAATTTGGTCCTCCGTTTGTTTGACCGTTAGTCAACCGTTAACTTGGGACCAAATTGGTAATTTCGCTATAGTCAAGAGACCATTTTGGTAATTAACTTTAGGGGTGGACAATTCGGTTTAGTCTTCTCGAACCAAACCGAACTAGTTTGGTTTGGTAATATACCGAACAACCGAACGGTATTGGATTCTTGTATACCAAACGGTTCGATAAAAAATCGATCCGAATTGTTCGGTAAAAAATTGAACTGAACCGAATACAGTTTGATTTTTTTTTAAAATAATAATAATAATAATAATAATAATAATAATAATAATAATAAATAGATAAATAAATAAATAAAAAGTAAATTCAGTCCCTTGCTGTTTGCTCTGCCGTTCAGCTCATAATCTCACGGGTATCTCTCGTAAATGTTTTATTTGATTTCTTTATGGTTTGTTATGAAAAGTTCTATATTATGTATTATGGTGTTTACATAGTCCATATCCAAAGTCTAATATATAACAAAATATCAATCCAAAGTTCAAACGGTATTCGGTTCGGTTCGATTTTTACCGAACAATTCAGTTCGGTTCGAGTTTTTTCCGAACCGTTTGGTATACAAGAATTTATTACCGTTCAGTTGTTCGGTATATTACCGAATCTAACTAGTTTGGTAGGGTTCAGTTCGAGAAAACTGAACCGAATTTCCCACCCTTAAAGTTAATTACCAAAATGGTCCATTGACTATAGTGAATTACCAATTTGGTCCCAAGTTAACGGTTGACTAACGGTCAAGCTAAGCAAACAGAGGACCAAATTGGTTAAGATTTTTAAAGTTGGGAGACTTAATTGGTCAAAGAAATAGTCAAGGACCAAATTGGTAATTTCGCTATAGTCAAGGGACCATTTCGGTAATTAACTCCATAAAAATTTTACCTCTACCCCCACATCCCTCACATATAACAACTAAGTTTTTTTTTTTTTTCATCAAAGTACAATGAGATTCCTGTACTATAGTGTTTTATTCAATTTAGTCATTATACTTTTATTTTGTTTAATTTAGTCCATGTACTTTATAAAGTGATATAATTAAGGACAATAGTTAACGGTGTTAATATTACAGTTAACTTAGCTTACATGGTGCTGACATCATCACTGTCACATCGTTATATTTATATCCCAACTCATATATTACTTTATAAATATTTAAAATTAATTATTTTACCACCAATATATTACATTAATATGCCTAAATAAATAATTACAATCATGCTCCCAATGAGATTGAACACTTGATGACATCATGCTTGTAATTATTTATTTTTGACATATTAGTGTAATATATTGGGCCTTTCAAAAAAATGTAATATATTGGTGGTAAAAGTAATTAATTTTAAATATTTATCAAATAATACATGAATTGGAATATAAGTATGATGATGTGGTATTGATAATCTCAACACCAAATAAGCTAAGTTAACGGTAATATTAACACCGTTAACTATTATCCTGAATTCAACCACTTTTTAAAGTACATGGATTAAATTGAACAAAATAAAGATACAAGGACTAAATTGAACAAAATATTATAGTACAAGGACCTCATAGGTAGTTTGACCCTTTTTCTTTTTTTCAATTAAGCAACTAGTGTTTTTGTAACAAAACATGTGTATACAAATAAATAAATGTATATATATTGATTCAACTTATAAAGTTTACAATATATGTGTGTGTGTGTGTGTGTGTGTGTGTGTGTGTGTGTGTGTGTGTGTGTGTGTGTGTGTGTGTGTGAAAGGTTCCCGTGTATTTGTTGCTTCCCGTGCGGATGTGCGGTGGATTAATGTGCGTGAGATTTGTACTCAATGTGCGTGAGTGTTGTGTTTAATGTGCTTGAGATTTGTACTTAATGTGCGTGAATGTGTAAAATGCAGCAGAAAATATTATGTCAGCTTCTTCCCCATCCCCAGTAGTCATTTGCCCCCTCCCTGATGATGATGATGCGGAGGCGAGCTATGGAGGTTAAGAATTATGGGAATAATACAACAGAAATCCACACTTTGTTGCTGTGCAAATTTTACTGTGCGTGCGTTATTTATATAAACATTCAACTGCATTGAAGGTAGCTGATAACCCAGAATCCATGGCCAAATTGAAGGAAGAAGTAACAAGAAGCTTGGGCGTTAATGTGCGTGAGTTTCTGTTCTGCTTCTTTCTGAGCTCGTAATTCTGAAATACTCAGGCACATTAAGCACAAATCTCACGCACAATAAACAGAATACTCAGGCACATTAAGTACAAAACTCACGCATATTAACATGACGCACATTAAGTACAAATCTCAGGCACATTGAGTACAAATCTCACGCACATTAAGCATAAACCTCACGCACATTAATCCACTGCACATCCGCACGGGAAGCAACAAATACACCTGATCCCTTCCTATATATATATATATATATATATATATATATATATATATATATATATATATATATATATATATATATATATATATATATAAAATAATTAATTATATAATTAAAGCATGTAAACATAATATAATTAATTTAATTATATATAATTTAATTTATAATTTTTTTGAAACAAGATAAAACACATTCTTTAATTTAGCATCATAGCTTATAAAAGGCAGGAAGAAATCAATGGCATAGCTAATAATCTTTTTTTTTTTTTTTTCATGAAGGAGGAGAAAACCCAAGACTTAAATTAAAAGTTCCTCTCGTTGGACCATCTATGCCATGTGCGGCCAATGCCATCTTCTTCAATCCGGCTAAAAACACTCGTCGGTGGTATCCGAACGTCTCTAAGAATATTGGTTTGAGTTCTTGCCTCCTTAGCCATAGCATCGGCAGCCATGTTTTGCTCTCTCAGAAGTCAGAACATGAATCAGCCTCACCTCCTGGCCACTTTTTGAATTTGCATCCTCGTCTTTTTTCATAACTTAATTTGGTCGTCCTTTGATATGAGAATGAAATTTATATTCAAATTCGTCCTTTGTTAGGGTTTCAATTAAATTCGTCCTCAAAATGATCATTATTTTAAATGCGAATTTTAGTTAATTTTCCAACACTTATTTGCAACATCATATACCAACTAAGAACACATTCCAATACTCCATTAGTACAAAGCTAAGGAGAATTAAGATATTGTTGTATGTCTACTTCCAAGTTGAACAGAGAATAGATTGAGGTTGATACATCATCAGCTAGCTGTAATGCTGTATGTTATTTGTTTCATCCACAAATATATCCATTCACAGAGGGCAATATAATGCAAAAGAAAACTGCAGAGACGAGGAGTAATTCTGAGTCCAGAAAATTCAAACAATAATGGCATTTGTTCTGGGTGGAGGGTATCCTTTCAGAAAAGCGCGAAACATAGTGAGGGCTTGTGAATGGCACTTCATGTGCTCCACCCCTAACCGAAGCAAATGTCAAAAGGCTCACATTTTTTCCCCCACTGAATGATTGACTCCACCCTCCAATCTGCAAAACAACATCATAATTAAGCTATGATGTTTAAATTAAAGAATGTGTATTTCATTATCTAACCCATGACATTATAAACCCATATACCCTCTCTTATTTTATCAATGTGGGACTCTTACGAGATTTCAACTGAATGTGTTTTGAAGTCATTGTCACAAACACATCCTTGGTAGTTGAATGAGGTCTAAAAATCCAAAAAGATTGAGTTTGACTGCTTAACCTCCCTTTTGGTCAAATCCTTAGAGACGACAAAACACTACCACTAAAACTACAATTATTCAAACATACCTGCACCCCATCATACCAAGGACCATGTCTTTCAAAGGCTGTGAGTTTCAGTTCTCTGGCAAGCATATTTGCAATGGTCCTAGTTTGTGTGACAGGGATTCTTGTATCTTGATCTCCACTGCACAACAGGTACTATTCTCAATTAAGAGCTTTAAAACGTACTTTATTTATTAAACTACCTTAATTTCTTGAAATATATTCATCTTCTCCATTAGCTACCAATACAAGTTAAGTTCAATGAAGGGACATAATAAACACAAATCACTTACCTGAAGAGCAGAATAGGGATGCTCTCTTTCAGAATTTCTGATAGTGTAGGCATAATATTGAGAGCTATATTTTGCAACTGGTATTGAAGAGTTCTGCAACATTGACATGTTTTTTTTTTTTTTTTTTCAGTTTTGCGAGCAAATTGAGAGAAATATTAGCATGAAAGAGTTAGAATTTAAACCCTGAACAAAAATCCCAGGCCCATGGGAGGTGAGTTGTATTAGCATGCAATGCTTTCTGAACTTCAGGTCTCTGTGAATACGCATATATCCGATCTGTAAGGCATGGATCACTAGCTGCAGCTCTCTTATCAATCTGTCATCAGACATTGTTGAGATTAACAAGAACAAGAAACAATAATAATGACAGAAAATAAAGAAGGCAACAGTAATATATACACTTGACTTACCTTTGTATGGGTGGTGACAAGATTTTCAAAGAAAACCATTTGCTGCTTTGCTTTTGAGGATAAACATATTGGTAAGAGGATATCATGAGGATCAATGTTGCCCCCCACCTCCTCCGCTGTGAGTTTGTTTACTAGAGCGCATTCCTTAGATATATTTCCTTGGATGTACTCCAAAGCGAACCTTGTGTTGTTACAGATTGCTCATTTCATAGCAAGCAAATCGTCAGATATGGCTCCGTGATACCAGAGAAACTCAGCAGCATTCATGCTGATCTCAATATCCAGAAGTGGATTCCCGAGCTGTAACATATGTGGGGAAAGTAAAATGCTTTGAATGGATTCACCGAGTGTTGGGCGGAGGCCGGTAAAGGCCACGTCTAAGTACTCGGTGGCTAGGGGATTGTTGGACGGAGACCAGTAAAGGACTTAAAAGGCCAAGTCTAGCACGTCTTGAAAATGTGTGGCGGTATAAGGAAATAAAGTTGCGCCTTCACTACTAGTAGTAAGCGCTTGGTCCTAACAAGTGGTATCAGAGCCCGGTTACGGGTTCAAGTTTCAGCAATAACATTAAAGACGGGTTGACTTACTGCAATGGCCTTGAGCTTGATAGGCTTGATGTTTGTCTGTTTGTTGTATTTTAGCATCAGTTCTGCAAGCTGTGGTATATAGTGACCTGTTACCATTTTGAGAAGAAATATTTAATTTTCTGCAGATGATCAGTTCTTCACAGAATGAAAATTTAACCCAATGAATTTAAAACTTAAAACTTGTAAGGGAATTTGAGAGTAAATATGAGCATTTCAAACAACCTGCATAACTCTCCCCAGTTAAGAACAAATCTGAATTTTGGTATTGTGGGAATTTCTCAAACCACTTGAGAATGAAACGCAGATTCTCCAGAGCTGCAGAAACCCAAGAAAGACTTAACCAGGGCGCAGTAAAGTAAAGAAGCTATAAATCCAGGGAATGGACTAACCGGTTTGTGTATCATTCCAATTGAAATAGTCTGAGCTTGTGTTTGAGTACGAAAATCCAACTCCAATAGGGGACTCTAGGTATAACATATTTGATTCTGTTCATCTTTCTAGATCGAGTTAGTCATCCATCAAATTCAAACATAAAGATTGGCAATGTTGTTAATTTGGTAATCACAAGATTATGACAATTATTGACTTTCATAGGTCATTTAATTATTGATAATCTAGACTGATTTATGGACAAATTATACTAAGGACCAGGGTCTATCTTGTATTATGAACCCTGATCTTTAGATTATGTTTCATTTATCTGCCATTGACATATTTTATACTGCAATTATATTTATGTGTCTATAAATAAATTGGAGAAACATAACATCTTAACTACAAACACATAAATTACTACAGGTACAAACAACAGACATTTACCTGCAATTAATAGTTTGTTTGTAGTTATCTTTTTATGCGTATGTAGTTAACATGTTATGTGCTTTCAATTTATTTACATGCACATAAACGTTAACTGCAAATACAAAATATATCAATTGCAAACACATAATTTTTGAACCAGGATCAACAATGCAAGATGCACTATAGTCCATGGTATAACAATTGACCTCCTTGTGGTCCTTTGCAAGCTAGGGCTACAATGCGTGATTTACCTAGGGGGTGTGCAATCGGTTAACCAAACTGTTCAAACCGAAATTTTTAATGGTTTAACCGTTAACCAAACCGAACTTTGTATTATCGAATTAATCGAATTAAAGTTTTTTTCGATTAACTGAACTTTTTTAAACTAAAGTTTTAAATCTTTAAAATAATACCTATAATAATAAATTCAATTTAAATAATACCTATAATAATAACTCTATACGAAAATACACAAACATAATACCATAACAACACTCCAAACATAAAAATACAAATTATAAAGTCCAAACATCTTTTATATATATATATATATATATATATATATATATATATATATATATATATATATATATATATATATATATATATATATATATAAAATTTCGGTTAACCGCTCGGTTAATTTAATTATAGTTTCGAACCGAATTAACCGTTAATCGAAATTTTACAAATCTTTTAACAATTAATCGAATTGATATTTTTGAATTAAAAACCGATTAACTGAAATTTTTCGGTTCAATCGGTTAATCGAACTTTCATAATTTCACCCAAGTTTGCACACTCCTAAATTTACCTAAACCACACAAAAGTGATTTCACCCAAAAAAAAAAAAAAAAAAAAAAAAAAAAAAAAAAAAAAAAAAAACTTCACCATAACATTGAAAAAGGGAAATGTAGGAAAGCTTAACCTACCTAAATTCCAAGAATACTTGTTCTTAACCAAGTTGCCATCTCTCCCTGGCTGAAACGGACCATGTTCCATAAACGCACCATAGCCCAGAGATGAACAGCCAGGGCCTGAAGTCATGAAATTAAGTTACAGAAAACGAAGAAATTAAAAGAAAGAAGGAAAGAGATTATTAGATTACCTCCATTGAGCCACAATGTAAGGGGGAGGGAGAGTGGATTTTGTGCCTCTGCTTCAACGAAATAATAGAATAGGGCATCTGTTACAATGTAACCTGAGTATTGTTTGAAGCTAATATTTGGAGGCTGCCCTGGGAGGGAAGTAATTAGCTCAGCTCTCAATATGGACCAGAAAAGAGAAGATAAGCATGAGAAGATGAAGAACCAAAGAACCATTTTTATATGAAAAAGTGAGAGAGAGTTTGATTGGGGAATGGGGAGTAGAGAAAATCATATTCCTTAGTTTCAACCACATTTTAATAGCATCATTTCACCACTTAAGTCAACAGAGTCAAGCTCCCCAGACCCAGAGGCCAGAGTCAGCTCAGCAAACCCAAAAAAGGTTTAAAAAATTTTGGCTCAATAGTAGGAGTTTTGGTGTAATTTTTGTAAATGTGATTAGGAAAGAGAAAATGAGAGAAAAGGGAGAAAAAAAATTAAATTCTAAAAAAAAAATATTGAATTACGCACCCAGGCAGGCGCAACACACGTGAGGCACACCTCTTTCTCTCCACTATGGGACCCACAGCACTACAAAAGCTTGGGTGCTTGTAGGACACACCCATTCACTCTCTCTACTCCCTTCTCTCTCTTCCAACAAAGTAATTCAGCATGAAAGCCTATGCAAAATTTCATTAATGGAGTTACTCTTAAAGGTACTAGTGGCCTAGTGGGCACTAGAAGGGAGGTACTGCTTTAACTTTTGGATAGGCTGTAGTGACGAGCATTTGAGGGTCTGTAAATATGTACGTTCCATAATATACCTACTTTAGACTTCGGAAGTAGGGCTGCCCAAGTCATCCCGTTTTTTCTCGTTAATTTTTTTTATACAAATAAAATTAACGTATATTATTGAAATCTTTTAAATTACACCCGATTAATAATTTTTTTCAAATTTTTAATAAATCTACTAATACATAAAATTACTACTTTAGGTTTATAAATCATTATACTACATTTGGTTCATAAAGTTACAACTATAAGTTCATAAATTTATTACTATAAATTTATAAAAGAGTTAATGAACAATTTGGTCCCTCAATTATTAGTGAACTGTCAATGTAGGCCCTCAATTGCTTATTCATCGATATCGATTTGGTCCTCGAAAATAATTATTTTTAGTTGATTTAGTCTCTCAGTCCGTCTTCCATCAATGGCCGGAGGGACTAAATCGACTAAAAATAATTATTTTCGGGAACTAAATCGACAGTCGAAGGGACTAAATCGACTAAAAATAATTATTTTTAAAAACCAAATCGATGAATAAGCAATTAAAGAACTACATTGACAGTTCGCTAATAATTAAAAGACCAAATTATTCTTTAACTCTTTATAAAATTACTACTGCGGATTCATAAAGTTATCATTGCATGGTCATAAAATCATTATTATAATGTTATTAAGTTACTACTATAAATTCATTAAATTATTACTATAAATTTATAAAGTTACTATTGAAAATAGTGCTACCAATATGGCCATATGGGTTGGCCAAGGCACAACCCACGCAGAATAGCACTAGGATTGTACGGACATGAGCCTATATAAGGGGTCATGCCAGTTTGCCCTTAGTTTTAGTTCAACCTAGTGATGGCAGAATATTCTTTACATTGGATTATTAGCACAATGTGCATATGATAATTAGAATATATTTCGTAATTGATATAATTATTAAATATATATTATAAAAATGTTTAGAGTGTATTAAAAAATACATTATAAAATTTAATATGAACTTTGATCAATTAATTAGAATCACGCATTGGACATTAATAAAACGGTACACCTAATTTACAGTATATATTCAACACATATAAGAAATTATGTCTATTATCATTGTCTTTTTGAAGAATGAGGATTTAGTTCTATTTTTGAAAGTACAATGCGCCAAGGCACTAAAATTGTAGTGAAGCACACAAGGGGATTAGATTAAATCAATAATTCATTTCTGACGGGAGTGGCAACAAGAGAAAGCATAGATCATGCCAATTAATAAGGTTTTCTGTTGTAAAAATTATGCTTGGGTACTATCTAGTGAAGATGTTTCCCTCTAAAATTACTATTGCACCAGTTAATTTTATGAAAAATTATGCCACAGGTCATAGTTATGCATTCTTGAAACATTTACTTTTATGAAAAATTTGATAATCTTGTATTGATATATGTCAGGATACCGATTGATACTTTGATGAATTTTGAAACACTAAGTCCGTTTACTAACAGAAAATTGTTTTCTGTTTTCTGTTTTCTAATTTTCAGTTTTCATTCTCTGTTTTCAATTCTTTGTTTTCTGTTTAGAAAACTTGTTTACTAACAGAAAATTGTTCTCTATTTTCTGTTTTTTAATTTTTCAGTTTTCACCTAAACTTTAGTTTAGATAATATAAATATTTTTTGAGCTAATATTTAAAATAATTTTTTTTTTGGATGTATTCATTTGAATGACATGTATATGAATATATAACTTTTACTTTGAATTCTAATATATGTGAGATTTCAATATCCGATATCTGGACCGAACTTGTATTATGATGTAACATAACTAAAAATATTTGAACTAATAATCTATTGGGTTCAATCAAAATCTAAAACATTATATAGAGTTTAATTCTTAATTTTGATAATGTAAATAATGTATAACTTTAAAGTGTAAGCAAATAAATTATGTTTAAATAAGTAAAGTAAGTAGAAAAGATAGAAGATAGTGATAAGTAAAATAAGATAATAATGAATGTAATCATAGTAATGTGGTTATAGTGACATATAACTAAATAGATGATAGATGATTCTGTTTTCCATTTCGAAAACAGTTTTTTAGTGTGTTTCAGTTTTCCAGAAATTTCCAGAAATTATTTTCAGTTTTCAAAATGGAAACTGTGTTAGTAAACATGTTTTCTGTTTTCTATTTTTCAGTTTCCGAAAATTTCCAGAAATTTCCAGTTAGTAAACGGTCCCTAAATTTTAAAAATATAATACACATTGAGCATTGGACTATTCGTGCAATGCGCGTGCGGTAACTAGTCCATGTATGTGTGCTCATCTTTAGTTGGTATCTCCTTGTAATAAATATTTATAGTTGTGTTGTATCACGATTAGAGCTCACCTTGCAAGGTGAATCATGATGTAGATCTAAAATTATGTCGTTTTGTAACCTTTTAAAGTGGTGTTATTATTTTTTTTCGCGCAATTAGAAACAACTTTCTTTGGTACGGCAAGCACATACTCTGTTAAGTATAGGTTCGTAAAATCAATACCTTAACTCTATAATAAAAACTTGTTAACTTTCAACCAAATATCTCATAAAACTATATCATAATCATGATTATATGTCAAACACTAATTCAAAACTACATTTAAATTCAAACTGAATACAACCACATAATCTTAATTATAATAAAGCCATATGGTCTTGTGAAAATTAAATGTTGATATTAACAACATTTAATTTTTACAAGACCATATGGTGTATATATATATATATATATATATATATATATATATATATATATATATATATATTTACTTATCAATTTATGTTATTAATATTATTAATTATTATCATTATTATTATTATTATTATTATTATTATTATTAGTGTTAGTGTTATTATTATTATTGTAATATATATATATGAATATGAATATGAATTGCAACTATGTTGATATTAGGTTATGTATTTTTTAATAAATAATATTATTATAATGTTGTCCAATATTCATTACGTGCATCGCATAGGTAGCATACTAGGAATAGACATACTCAAGATAAAATATGTATACCGCTAGCTGCGATTAACAATAGTAACTTTTTGTATCATACTATTTTCAATTATTAAATTAAATATTGTAAATACAATATCATAATTATTTTGTCATATACTTAATAAAAATGTAATTTTAAACAATTAAATTGTGGTTCATGTTTTCTTCTTCTGTACTTCAAATACCATTATTAAAAACCTTTTTTTACCTATTCTAACATTACAAACAAATCTTTAATATTTAGTCCGTGCATCGCACGGGACAATACTAGTTGTACTAATAAACAAAGAATAAGGCTACTAAACCAACCAATAGTTTAAAACTACATAAATGCAATACTCCAAGTTCATAAACTTAATCATTAATTTCATAAGATATCGATACACTCAATTTATGAACATTTAGTTTTAAGTTAATTTACCTACAACAATTATAGTTAATAGATTATGTATATCTACAATATTAAATTTATATATACTTATAGTTAACAATAATTATGTATCTATTGCAAAGGTAAGTATTGATCAAACAATAGAATAAAAAGAAATTCTTATTAAAAAATGTTGGATTAATTTAAGCAAAATAATATTGTTTTAAATAGTACTAAAAAAATAATGTTTTAAATCAAAATCAATAAATATATAGGGGTGTTTGGTAAATAGCTGTTAGCTGATTGGCTTAGTGGCATGAGTTTGACTAATTGATAGTATTAGCTGATTGGTAAATTAGTTGTTTGTTGATAGCTGATTACATGCAAAATGACTTTCTTAAAAAATTAATTTGAATAGTTTTTGAATTTTAAAATTTTGGAGTAATAAGTTGTTACAAAAAACTAATTAATCAAACACTCATATTGATTGTTTAACTAAATCAAACAGCTTATAGTGGTCAAATAAATCAAAATTAATTTATAAGCTAATTATTTTACGAAATGGTGCAAATTATATCGTGCACCGCGGTGCATAATCGATTATGCATTGAGCTTCAAAACGACGTCGTTTTGTTTAATGAAAGAAACGTCACCTGTTTCCCGTCGTTCCGCATTGTTCCGCAAAAAGTAACTCTATTATTCAGTTTCATTTTGCATACAGTGCAATTTCAGTTCAACACAACTACAGTTCCATTTCAATATAACTACAGTTTCATTCAATATTTATACACTCAAATATGTGAAAATGTTATTTAATTTTATTTTATATACAGTATAGTTTCATTAAAACACAACTACATGATCATTTCGATATAACTACAGCTTCATTGCACAATATACATTCAAATATGTGAAATGTTATTCAGTTTCATTTTATATACACTGTAGTTTCATTTCAACACAACTACAGTATCATTTTGATATAACTACAATTCCGCTGGATAATCACTCAAATATGTGAAATTGTTATTTAGTTTCATTTTATATACACTGCAGCTTCATTTCAATACAACTACAATTTTATTTCATTTCAATTGCAATTTCACTTGATAATATAAAAATAATACGTGAGGCAGTGTCAGTTTAAATACACTGTAATTTTAATTGGTAAATTAATATACAAAAATACACATTTCACTAACGATAACGACGTCGTTTTTTACCGCGGTGCACATGCACCGCGGTCCACGATATAACCACTGCGAAATGGGACCCTAATGTATAATGAAAAATGAACTCTGATCAAACAGGGCCATAATGTATGGTAGTTCTCGTTTACTTATATGAATGGACCAATGTGCACCTATAAATGTTATGTGGTCCTCGTGGACCTCGTGCATAATTAGAACCCATATACATTGCTTATAATGGGGACCACATGTCTCCATCAAATAAGTGCATAATTTGTATCCATATACATTGCTTATAATGGGATCACGCGTCTCCCATCAAATCAATTCTTGAATGTGAAAAAGAAAATTAGACTGATGCAGAAGAACCTCAAAGCAATTCCTTTGAGGTTTTATTATTATTATTATTATTATTATTATTATTATTATTATTGATAGAAATATTGGGCATGGGCTAAGACTTATTGAGTTAGCATTATGGACCACAGATGGACCGAAGGAGAGCGGACTGGTGAGATGGGGGTGGGGGTATCGCCGACTGGGGAAGATGGTTGGTGCCGGTGGTTGGAAGGGGTCGCCGACTGGGGCGCTGGCCCCAGCCGGCGACGACGCGCCCCCGCGCGCGGGGGGTAGTATGCGGCACCGCTGGCAGCGCGTTACGGCATGCCCCCTCGTCGCATGCGCTCATGTTCCGATGAACGCGGGGGATGATGTGCCGGTGTAACATGGGGAGTTAGGGGGGGGGGGGGGGGGTGGAGTAGCGGGTGTAACGTGGGGCACGTGGCGCTTGCTAGGAGGAATGTCGATCTTGGGACGTATACGTGGAAGGTATAAGATGCGAAGAGTATGGTATAAATAGGGGGGTCTGGATTCCTAACAGGGGACAAGTGGGACACGACAGACACTACAGTCTAGTGATTTTGATCCCATGCTCTCAACAATCGTTATGCTATGGACCCGTGTCCAGCATGCATGCTGGACACGGGTAACAATGCCGTTAGTGGCACCTGTTATCTTCCACTTTTTTAAAAAAAAAATTTCAGACCGCTTCATTATAGAAGTAGGAGTATATGTTCATAATTTTATTACCATATGTTCATAATTGTAAGTTCATAATGTCAGAGCTCTATGTTTATAATTCCATAATTGTATATTCATACTTCCATAACTGTACATTCATAATTCCGTAACTGTACATTCATAATTCAATAACTGTAACTTCATAATTTTCGAAGCTCTATGTTCACAATTTTAGAGCTCTATATTCATAATTTTATCACTATATGTTCATATTGTAAGTTCATAATGTCAGAGCTCTGTGTTCATAATTCCATAACTGTACATTCATAATTGCATAACTGTACATTCATAATTGCATAACTGTACATTCATAATTCCGTAACTGTACATTCATAATTCAATAACTGTAAAATCATAATTTTCGAAGCTCCATGTTCACAATTTTAGAGCTCTATGTTCATAATTTTATCACTATATGTTTATAATTGTAAATTTATAATGTCAGAGCTCTGTGTTCATAATTTTATAACTTACATTCATAATTTCATAACTGTACATTCATAATGGCACAAACGAATAACGACGTTAACGACGAGACAAAATCAATTTTTTTTTTTTAAACTAGAATGACGCGTTTTCCCTGAAAACGACGTCGTTTTGGACTCGTGTCCACAATGCATTGTAGACACGGATCCAGGGCATAATTTGCGTGCTCTCAACCCCTTGGCCTGGGTTCGATTCCTGTTAGTAGCATAGCCCATCATTTGGGCCTCGTTCTTTGTAGTTGGGCCGCCGTTTTGGGCCGATACCTTGGGCTTTTGTACGTACTTTTTGGGCATAGTGCCCCGTGTAATAAGGTTATTCTTCCCTATCCCTGTTCTGTACTGCTGTACCTGGTTTATGGTAGATCCGGTCCCAATAAAATTATCAATTATTATTATTATTATTATTATTATTATTATTATTATTATTATTATTATTATTATTATTATTATTATAAAAAACTCGCAGTTACTATGCGAAAGTGTACACTGATCTAGCCAATAAAGGAAATTCGTTTGAACTTTATTATTATTATTACTATGGATTTGTACATGCAATATGCAAAAATTTGAGCCAAATACTAAAATATGTTACAATTATTAATAAAAATAAATTTAAAATATTATTTTAACCCATTAAAATTATACTTGTAAGATTTATATTTTGAAAAAAAAAAAAAAAAGAAGAAAAGATAAAATATGATCAATATCATAAATTAATTATTGTCATATTATTTTTATTTATATATATATAAAAAAAAAAGTAATTCGTGAGCAAATAGTTTTGTCATTTTTTTTACTTTAATTTCCTTAATAAAATGTCTCTTAATTAGTTTTAACATGAGATTGACAAAGTTAAAACTAAATTAAATTTAAGAAAAATGTTCAAATACACTCTTTCACTTTATGTAAGAAGTTAATTATGCCAACTTTTGAAAAGTTGCAATTAAACACATTAACATATTAATTTAGTACATCAAGGCCAAAAATCCTAATTGTGACCTGCTATAACAAGTCAATAATGTACAGGCGGAGCTCCCGCGACATCCTGACGAAGGGATGACCAATAGGTCGTCGGAAAAGATGACCAAAATGGCCGCCACCTCCATTTACCAGAGAAGGCGACCAAACTGGCCTCCTTCTCCGTCATTGGAGATGGCAACCCGTTAACATGAGAAGACGACCAACTGGTTGCCTATTTGGTCGCTTTCGCCAGTTGACAGAGATGGAGACCAGTTTGGTATGGTCGCCTTCTCCGATCGATGGAGACGGTAACCAATTTGGTCGTCTTTTTCGGTGACCTACTGGTCATGTCTTTGTCGGAGCTTCGCCGGTGCATTATTGACCTGCTATAGCAGGTCACAATTAAGGTTTTGGATCTTGATACACTAAATTAATATGTTAATATGTCTAATTGTAACTTTCAAAAGTTCGGGGCCTAATTGACTTCTTACACAAAGTTAGAGATGTATTTGACTGTTTTCCCTTAAATTAATGATATTAACTTCAATATCAAACATAGAATGGATTGGGCTTGATTCATCATCAACTATCTCTTATTTGTTTCATCTATTCACAGAGGACAATGCAAAAGTAAAATGCAGAGAGAAGTGTACTAGTTCTGAGTCAGTCTTCAAGCAATGGACCTTAGCTTGTTCTGGGTGGAGGGTATCCTTTAAGAAAAGCACGGAAAAGAGTGAGGGCTTGCGAGGGAGAAGTGAATGGCACTTCATGTGCTGCACCCCTTACTGAAGCAAATGTCAAAAAGCTGACATTTTTTCCCAAGATTGACCCACCAAATGATTGACTCCACCCTGCAATCTGCAAAACAAACAACATTATTAGCCAATTAAGTGAAAGCTAAGTACTTCTCTGATCTTATGGAGTCTGTTAGTAACATATATATATATATATATATATACCTGCACCCCATCATACCAAGGACCATGTCTTTCAAAGGCTATGAGTTTCAACTCTCTGGCAAGCATATTTGCAATGGTTCTGGTTTGTGTGACAGGGATTTTTGTATCTTGATCTCCACTGCACAATAGGTACTATTATATTCTCAATTAAGACCTTTAAAACAAATTTAATATAATGCATTTGTTGGGCGGAAGCCAATAAGGGCCAAGTCCAACACCTTGTGGCTAAGGGATTGTTGGGTAGAGGCCGGTAAAGGGCCAAATCCAGTACCCTGGCTCTGGAAAATGTGTTGCTGTATAAGGAAATAAAGCTGTGATTTCACTCTGAGCTATAACATTTGATGTATTGGTACGCACTTGATCTAACAAGTGGTATTACAATCAGATCACGGGTTCGAGTCTGATGGCCAAGTCCAACACCATGTGGCTAAGGGATTGTTGGGTAGAGGCCGGTAAAGGGCCAAACCTAATACCCTGGCTCTGGAAAATGTGTTGTTGTATAAGGAAATAAAGTTGTGTTTCGCTCCAAGCTATAACATTTGATATAGTGGTAAACACTTGATTTAACAAGTGGCATTACAATCAGATCATGGGTTTGAGTAAGATGGCCAAGTCCAACACCATGTGGCTAGGGAATTTTTTTTTTTTTTTTTTTCGGTAGCTCAGGGGTTCCACCATTGAACATAACTAATCCCCTCGATGAATCGTAGGCACCTCTATTAGGTGGGACAACTGACCTGAAGATTAAAGGCTGCTTCATACCCGAAGTTAAGGATCGAACCCTTCCTTTGGTTAAGGCAAGGGATTGTTGGGTGCAAGATTGGTTAAGGCAAGGGATTGTTGGGTGGAGGCCAGCAAGTCCGACACTTTGACTCTCGAAAATGTGGCAGGTGGTAATTTCTTGAAATATATTCAGCTTCTCTTATAGATGCTAACACAATTAAAGCAAATCTCATAATACTCACTCACCTGAAAAGCAGAATGGGGATGTGATGTTTCAGAATTTCTGACAGTGTAGGCATAATATTGGAAGCTATATTTTGCATCTGGTATTGAAGAGTTCTGCAACATTGCAAGCAAATCGAGAGAAACATTACTAAAAAATTCATAAATCTGAGGTAGAAATATATGAAAGAGAGTTAAGAATCTAAACCCTGAACAGAAATCCCAAGTCCATGGGAGGTAAGTTGTATTAGCATGCAATGCTTTCTGTACTTCAGGTCTCTGTAAATACGCATATATCCGATCCGTAAGGCACGGATCACCAGCTGCAACTCTCTTATCAATCTGTCATTGAGATATTGTCGAAATTAATAAGAACAAGAAACAATAATAATGACAGAAAGTAAAGAAAGCAACAGTAATATATACACTTCACTCACCTTTGTAAGGGTGGTGACAAGATTATTTCGAAAGAAAACCATTTGTTGTTTTGCATTTGAGGACAAACATATTGGCAAGAGGAGATCACTAGAATCAATATCACTCCCCACCTCCTCCCCCGTGGCACCGTTTACTAGAATGCACTCGTTCGACATATTTCCTTGGATGTTCTCCAAAATGGCCCGTGTGTCGTTACAGATTGATCGTTTCATGGCAAGCAAATCATCAGATATGGCTCCATGAGACCACAGAAACTCAGCCGCATCTATGCTGATATCGATATCCAGAAGTGGATTTCCCAGCTGTAACATGTAGGGAAAGTATAAAGCTTCGAATGCAAAGTAGAAAAATGTCTATTTTACCTGTTATTAACAGAAACTTACTGCAATGGCCTTCAGCTTGAAAGCTCTAATGTTTTTCTTTTTGTTGTATTTTAGCATCAGATCTGCAAGCTGTGGTATATAGTGACCTGTTACCATTTCGAGAAGAAATATTTTTCAGTAATATTTTCTGCACAGAACAAAAATTAACCCATTAGCATTTCAGACAACCTGCATAACTCTCCCCGGTTAAGTACAAATCTGAATTTCGGTATTGTGGGAATTTCTTGAACCACTCGAGAACGAAACGCAGATTGTCCTGAGCTGCAGAAACCCAAGAAGGAAAAGGATCAAGTCAATGGACTTAGCCTGCAACACTACAGAAACTACAAATCCAGAGAATTGTATGGACTAACCGGTTTTAGTATCATTCCAATTGAAGTAATCCGAGCTCGTGTTTGAGTAGGAAAATCCAACTCCAATAGGGGACTCTACGTATAACATGTTCGACTCTGTTGATCTTTGCAGATCAAGTCAGTCACGTTGACCATATATAATATATAAACATAAACGTGCAATCTAACTATCAGTTTAAATTTTTAGTCAATGATCAAATTCAAGCAAAAACTTCACCATAACATTGAAAAAATTAAAGAAAATGTAAGAAAGCTTCACCTAAATTCCAAGAATACTTGTTCTTGATCAAGTTGCCATCTCTCCCGGGCTGAAACGGACCATGCTCCATAAACGCACCATAGCCAAGAGATGAACAGCCAGGGCCTGATGTAAGATATTATCAAGTCATGAAATATTGAAATTAAGTTACTATTGGGCGGAGGCCAGTAAAGGGCCAAGTGCCTCTCGAAAATGTGATGGCAGTCTATAAGGAAATAAAGTTGCGACTTCGCTACTAACTATAACTTTTGGCGTAGTGATAAGCGTTTGATCCTAACAGAAAGAAGGAAAGAGATTATTAGATTACCTCCATTTAGCCACAATGTAAGGGGGAGGGAGAGTGGATTTTGTGCTTCTGCTTCAACGAAATAATAGAATAGAGCACGGCCATGGTGAGCATCTGTAACAATGTAACCTGAGTATTGCTTGAAGGTAATATTTGGAGGCTGCCCTGGGAGGGAAGTAATTAGCTCAGCCCTCAATATGGAGCAGAAGAAAAGAGAAGAACATAACAAACAGGAGAAGATGAAGAACCAAAGAACCATTTTCAGATGAAAGAGTAAGAGGGAGAGTTTGAAAGGGGATTACAGCAGATCAGATCACATTCCTTTATCATTTGACCAGTTAAGTTAACAGAGTCAAAAGTTGTCTAATATTATATCCTAGGAATTGAACTTTAGATCTTGCTACAATATAGCTTATTAATTACAGCTACACTTTTCTTGCAGATTCAACCTCCACCTGCATTAAGTAACCATTTGCCACAAATCAAGCTGGAAAGCAATAACGCATGTTTCTAACAACTTTTTTTTTTTTTTCTTTTTTCTTTTTTACATTTTGAGTAAGGTTAACAAATCCTATTAACAGATTTTGTTTTTAACATTTTTGAGTAATGTGCAAATGTAACAATTTATATATACTTAATATTCACAATTTACATACTAAATGTTCACAACTTACCTTTTACAAAGTAGTGAACATTCAGTATGTATTGTGTATTTTGGCAATCATTATTGTGTGGACCATATTTTGTATACTGTAAAATAATGTATATTCATTATAAAAATAATGTACTTTTAGTATATTAAAAATGTACATTGTATTCAGGGATGTACATTATTTGTGTACTGAGTGTACATTATATATTATATTATATAATGTATATTCAGTACACAAATAATGTACATTTAGTATATTAAAAATGTACTTTTTGTTATGGTCAATGTGTGGACCATGGTCCACATAATAATTTGCCGGATTTTGGACCCTGATCCACCTTGCAATGTGGATCCGGGTGCACGGGATAATTTGTCAACATCCATCCTTGTCTTTTTTTGGGGTCATCATTTCTAATTATTTGGTTGAAATACAAAAAAAAAAAAAAAAAAAAAAAAACAGAAAACAAAAAAACAAAAAAACAAAAAAAAAAAACTAAACTAGAAAATACACACTTGTAAAAGGCAAATTATGTTGTGCATCCGTGTCCACCATGCAAAAACGACGTCATTTTGACTAAAAACGCGCGTCCAACTTAAAATAAAAAATCAAGTTTCGATTCCCATCAACAACATTATGTTGTGCATAATTTCTGAATGTATAGTTATGAAATTATGGATGTATAGTTATGCAATTCTGGATTTATAGTTATGAAATTATGGATGTGTAGTTATGTAATTCTGAATGTATAGTTATGAAGTTATGGATGTGTAGTTATGCAATTCTGGATGTATAGGAAGTTATGGATGTGTAGTTATGCAATTCTGAATGTATAGTTATGCAATTCTGGATGTATAGTTATGAAATTATGGATGTGTAGTTATGCAATTCTGATTTTTTTTAAAGTCGACGTCAAAACGACGTCGTTTTTGCATCCGTGTGCACCATACATGGTGCACACGGATGCACAGCATAACGACTCCTTGTAAAAGTATCAAGCTCGGGGACCAAAATTGTTCACTAAAATCTATTAGAGTTAATTACCAAAATGATCCTTTGACTATTACAAAATTACTAATTTGGTCCTCGACTATTTTTTTTACCCAATAAAATCATCGACTCTGTAAATGTTAACCAATATGGTCCTCCGTTAGTTTTGGGGTCTAAAGTCTGTTAAAGTCAAGGGTAATAAAGGAATTTCATCCGCTCATGGTCTAGAACCTTCCTCCTCAACCGCCTCATTCACAGCCTGTTCATATCCACAATCACCACCGGCGATCCACCGTCACAGGCTCCACCGTGCCTCCACCATTCCCCTCATTCTCCGCCGCGATATCCACAACCACCATCGGCCATCCGGTGATCCCCATTTTGCGGTCGATTATGCCTTCTTATCGTTCAACACCACACCGGATGCACATTATCGTTCAACACCCGTTCCATGGCTGATTCTCTGTTTCTTGTTGTATGATGCAGATATGAGATCTGGTTTGAATTGAAGCATATAGAATAGATCTGGGATTTGGGATTTTGTATGGTGGTGCAGCAAAAGTGGTTTTTGGTTTTTAGGAGTTTTAGAGTGGATTGATAGACGGCGATGGTAGCTGAGAAGGATTCGGATTCGGTTGAGATTCGGGAAGTGTGGGATTATAATCTGGAGCAGGAGTTTGCCCTGATCCGGGAAGTTGTTGATGAGTATTCGTACATCGCCATGGACACGGAGTTCCCCGGCGTGGTTATCCGCCCGGTGGGCAACTTCAATAACAGCTGCGACTACCATTACCAGACGCTCAAAGACAACGTGGACATGCTGAAGCTCATCCAGCTAGGGCTCACCTTCTCCGATGAGGAAGGGAACCTGCCCAACGGCGGGGGGACCCACACCCAAAACATTTGGCAGTTCAACTTCCGAGAGTTCAACCCCAACAAAGGATGTCTCGCCAACGATTCCATAGAGCTCTTGCGCCACAGTGGTATCGATTTCCAGAAGAGCATCAAGAAAGGGATCGACGCCAGGCGATTTGGCGAGCTGCTGATGCCATCTGGTGTGGTGTTGAACGATAATGTGCTTGGGTAATGATCTGTTGAAATTCCTTTATTACCCTTGACTTTAACAGACTTTAGACCCCAAACCTAACAGAGGACCATACTGGTTAATATTTACAAAGTCAAGGACCTTATTGGGTAAAAAAAATAGTTGAGGACCAAATTGGTAATTTTGCAATAGTCAAGGGACCATTTTGATAATTAACTCTATCTATTGTGTGATATGACAATGTATAAATTTATATTTAATTAAAGAAAAATTACACTTTTATCCTTAAATTATACAATAATTATAAAAGTCGTCCTTAATTGTTGACCATGCTCGTAATTATTACGAACTTTAGATTTGCACTAGGAGTTCAGGACAAACTTGATTGTGCATCGGTTTATAATTGATAGTGCATCCAAGATGTTCCAATAATACACTCAACCTTGTTGTACTGTTACATATCATTGCACATTCCGATGCAAATAAGTCTTGTGTAGCAAATTAAAGTAACAAAAATGCAGTAACGTCAAAATGATAGTGGAACAAATAGATTGTGTTTGTTCAATATATACAATAAAACTTACATTTGGAAAGAGTTCTATTACATTTACTATTTTACTTTCAATTTTTACTACCTCACTCTTTACTTTATGATATGACAAACAAAAATATGATATTTTCATCATGTGGGTCTCAAAAAAAAAAAAATGCTTACATCAAGGATTTGTGAAAATTAAAAGAGTAAGGATTGAGAGCAAGAAATGAGATTCATAAAGTATTTTTGTTTTGGGGAATTTTGAGAATATGTCATATATATCTCTCTTTTGAATAAGCCAAACAGAACAACGAGAAAAGAGACAGAAGTTAATATATATAATAGTTACAGTACAGCAGCCATTTCTTTTCTCACTTATACAATGATGTTTTTTCTCTTAATTTTGGTCTTCCGATCCGATCCTTAGCTTTGCTGTAAAAGAAGATTTGGAGTTGATGTTGATCCCAAGAATAATTATTGAACAACGTATAGTATGTCAGATTGCCTCCTTGTGCTCAGTAAACAAATGTCTAACCTCTGTGTTCAGCTGAGTTACCATAATTTGTGCTCTGTCAGATCGGGACGTGGGGGCCTTATTCCTTGAAATTGGAGATTCAACCTTTTGGAAACAATCAACTACATATAGTACGTAGTTTAGCAAAATCTGCCGACCTTGCACTTTAGTGCGCCAGAAGTTCGAGTGAGGCGTCCAACATATGAAGCGGGCCTGTGTCTGATCCTATTGGTGTTGTTGAAACGAGTGTTGTTGTAGTGGTGGAGCTCTTCCCCGGACTCTACAAAGTAGGCTCCATTCAAGAACAAATCCCCCTCTGATCTCCATTGCCAGTTCTTCCACACATTTTTTGAAACGATTTCCCTCTTGGTCACCTGCTTAGTGAATGGGTTGCTGGAGGCCTTGAACCTGTTGCCCTGGCTCACAATGGTGGGTCTGGAGCTACCTCCAATGGCATACATTTCCCACTTAGTGTAGTCGTTGTTGACGATATGGAAGAACCCCCATCGGCACCTTGGCATCCTCTGAATCAAACCCTTCCCAAACCGATTGAATGCCACCGTCACTTGCATGATGGCGTCTTCTGAAAACAAGTCGCTCGCACCCAACAGCAGCACCTATATGTAGGTAGGTTAGTTTTAGTATTAATTGCTTACCGCTAAAAGTTATAGTAACTAGCAAATGTGCAACTTGAGGGGGTGTAGACTTGGTTTTTCAGGCCTTTGCCTAATAATTGGCCCCTACAACTAGACAATTCCCTCAATATCTAGCAGCCTTAATTGCACAGTTTTTATTCGGGCTCAAATCCGTGACCTGGCTTGGTTGCACAGTTTTTATTTGGGCTCAAATCCTTGACCTGGCTCGGATACCACAGGGACAATTCCCTCAACACCTAGCAGCCTTAATTGCACAGTTTTTATTCGGACTCAAATCTGTGACCTGGCTCGGATACCACGGGTCAAGCACGACTAGTGAAACTTTATTTTCTTATTCCATCACATTTTCGAGATGCAAGGTGTTGGACTTGGTCGTTTAGCCCTCCGCCCAAGAATTTCCCTAATCACCTGGTACTGGATAATTTTCTCACACCTATCAACTTTAATTGCATAAGTCAAGCCTTGTTAATCAAACCAAATAAACAAAATGGGATGGAAGGAGTAAAATTTTAAAAAGTGTATATATTTGTCCACTGCTCTCAAATTTTGTTCATTTCAGTCATTAACCCATTCCTCTAGTCACCTTCAGTTCTGCTGGACAATTCCCCAACACCTACCAATATTAATGGCCCAGTTTAATTTTTACCCTTGTTGGAATTCAAAATACAATTCGTTAAGATCCGGAGCTTACAACTGACGCAATTTTATATTGTCATATTTTTTAGAGACAGGTGTTTAACTTGGTCCTTCAGGCATTCACTTAACTATCTCCTAGCTACTTGGTGTTCAACTTGACCCCTCATCTATAGTCTCAACATAAGTTATGTTGTACGTTAGTACGTTTTGAATATACAAAAATATATGCATGCATGCATGATTAACTAATAACTTACGTGGTTGTGGTGATTGAATTTGCAGTTTGAGATGGTGATGGCAGTGGAAGCCATGATTGCGTCGATGAGGCCATCGCTGCATCTGGACATGGTGAGATGGTCAAGCCAGACATGGTTGGACCCGAAGATGGAGATACCATCTCCATCGCTCATCGTCCTCAGCCCAATATGGTTCACAGAGTCCCTGATCATGCCACCCATTTTGGGCAAAATGTGGTGGATCTTGATGCCATGGATGATCACATTCCTTACAAACTGTATGGTCAACCCAGCACCATAAGCAATGTGCACAGACACCCCCCGCCCATCAATGGTTTTGTCATGGTTTATAATCAGCTCCTGCTTAAGAGTAATCACCATGGATTTCTTGAAGATGATCCAAAGTGGCTCTTCTTGAATCACTGCATGCCGGAGAGTTCCTGGCTTGGGATTCTCCATGTCTTTATCCGATGAATCGGTTACCACGTAAAATCGCCCTTTTAGTCCCCCAGTTGTGCCACTCCCGAAGCCACGGGCACAGAACGCTAGCCTCTTCCTGTGCTTTGCCCAGTCTTGATCACACCTCCAGCATCTGTCTATGGAGTTTGTTGCCTTGCAATGGCTTCCTCTAAGGTGCCTTCTCGTAGTATTCGTCCAATTCATTATCGTACTGCATGCATTAACACACTTCTATCATTATATATATATTCCATCGCCCTGGGAAAGTCTGAGTGTGGCTATGGTGGCCAGCAAATGCCCGGTGTTCAAACCCTACAAAGGGTAAGATCTTGGGAAATAAACAAACACTAAGATCACTATGTTTCATCTCACAAGCTCCTAGAGCAGGGATGTGAGGACCCTTATTGGGATTCAAATTTATATATTCCATCTGGACATAAGTCAGTGGTCGATTGAGAAATTTGGCCCTGCCCGATTGTTCTGCCCACTTTCTCCCATGATCGGAAATAATGACAAAGGTTTTTTTAAATACTCAAATTAGTTGAAAAGTGGTCGGCGTTTCCGACCACTTTTAGGTGGTGGGAAATCTGTTGATTTCCAGGGGTGAAAGTCTGAGTGTGCCTGTGGTGGTGCAAACTCTGCAAAGGGTAAGATCCTGAGAAATAAGCAAGCACTAGGATCATTAAGACACATCTCATGATTTATCTCTTTTCATAACCTCTGTAGGACAGGAGGCCTGAGGCCTTTAGGTTTGGGATTTAAACTAATTAAAAAATGACTTTTTTTTTTTTTTTATAATAATAAAATTTAAAAAGAACTTACTCTCCAACTTCCTCATTGAAATTATCCGTGACTTCCTCGGGATTGTGGTAGTAAGCCTGCAGGGACGATTGCAATGCTTCATCGGCTTTCTTCTTCAAATAGGCGTCATATTCTGCGATATCCGCCTGCAATGTAGCAGCAAACACAAGGAGGAGAAAGAACACGAAAATTGAAATCTGATGGCTCTTCATCAACCCCCTCATACTCACTAATTAATTTCCCAAAGATCAATTCTTTGGTTTTTCTACTTTTAATTTGCTAATCTATAGATACCCTATATATACATATATATAGTTGCGCTCCCAAGCATTAAGAAAGACAACCAGGTTAGACACACATATATATACAGAGTCATATATTCCTATAGTAGGGGAGAGGCATGTAATGGCGGGAAGTGTGGATGGCCATTGACTAATTAGAGGTTGGCAGTTAATTAACGACTTCAACTGTGTACACAGATGTATTTTAGTAATTTGTTTTAATTTCTTTATATTCAATAAATTTTGAGCACTGCACTTTGTGAAAGTTATACACCATGGAATACATGTACAATTTTCCATAATTCTTTCATAATTAATACTTTAAATATAGATTCCTAAACACAATTTTCTTTTAATATGATCGAATTTCTATATTCTTAATCGAAACGAGCCCGCATTAGGCATTACAAGTTATTCGGCAAATTATTGTGTGGACCATGGTCCACACATGTTATGTAGACTATAATAAAAAGTACATTTTTAATATACTAAATGTACATTATTTTTGTACTGTATGTACATTATACAATATAATGTACATTCAGTACAAAAATAATGTACATCCCCTGAATACAATGTACATTATTTTGTACTGAATGTACATTATTTTTGTACTAAATGTACATTATTTTACAATATACAAAATATGATCCATACAACTTGTGTGGATCATGGTCCACACAATAATAATGATTGAAGTTATTGTGTCATGAGCCGTAAGCGACCAGACCTAAGGAAAGCCCAGCTCAGTCCAGGTCACGACCCGCAAATTATATCGTGCACCGCGGTGCATGATCGATCATGCACCGCGCATCAAAACGACGTCGTTTTGTTTAATGAAAAGAAACGGCATCCGTTTCAAGTTGTTCCGCACCCTTCCGCAAAAAGTAACTCTGTTATTCAATTTCATTTTGTATACACTGCAGTGTTAGTTCAACACAACTACAGTTTCACTTTGATATAAGTACAGTTTCATTCGATATTTATAGACTCAAATATGTGAAAATGTTATTTAACTTTATTTTATATACACTATAGTTTTATTAAAACACAACTACATGATCATTTTGATATAATTACAGCTTTATTGTACAATATACACTCAAATATGTGAAATGTATTCAGTTTCATTTTATATACATTGCAGTTTCACTTCACTACAACTACAGTATCATTTTGATATAACTGCAGTTTCATTCGTGAAGCAGTGTCAGTTTAGATATACTCTAGTGTCAGTTGGTGTTTAATACACCAAATATGCTGACTCCATTAACGATAACGGCAGGCCGTTTATTTACTTAAAGAAACGACGTCATTTTTTATCCCGGTGCATGTACACCGCGTTCTATGATATAACGACTGGTCACAACGAATGCCCTAAGTGACTAAGGTCAAAGGTGGGTGTCGAAACTGAGGGATTCTCTTCGGACCCACTCACCCACCCAAATTTTTTTTAACATTAAAAATGATAAATTCTCTAATATAAGAAATTACACATTACTAATCTCCAAACTAAAAAAAAAAATCAAAATATTAAAAAGAATTGTTGACAAGTAAAATTATATTGGAATAAGGGTCAAATATGTCACTCAACTGCATACCAACTGTAATTAAGTCATCGAACTAAAAAAAATATATAATTGGGTCCCTGAACAACACAAACTCATGCAATTAAACCCAAAATGACCTGTTTACCTAAAATTATACTGACATGACAGTTACACATTTTTAAAATAATTTTTTCAAATTATTTTAAATAATATAATTAATTAAAATTAAAATTAAAAAAAAAAACAAAACTAGAATTGTCAGAGACGAATCGTCTCCAGCAGGCTCCGTCTCTATGGCAGGAGACGAAGACCTTCGTCTCCATGGCCAAGGAGACAAAGGGACCTTCGTCTCCTGACCATGGAGACGAAGCCTGTCGGAGACATTCGTCTCTGGAAGTTCTAGTTTTGTTTTTTTTTTTTTTTAAAATTTTAATTAATTATTTAAAAAAAAATATTTTTAAAATCGGTAATCGCCATGTCAACATAATTTTAGGTAAACAGATATTTTGAGTCTAATTGCATGAGTTTGTGTTGTTTAGGGATTTAATTGAATTTTGTTTGAGTTTGATGGCCTAATTGTAGTTTGGTGTGCAGTTGAGCGACATATTTGACCCTTTTTCCAATTATATTGGCAGAAGGGTCAAATAGGCCTATGTACTAACATTGATTGCTCATCTAGCACCATGAATTAAAATATTGTTCATCTAGACTATTACACTTTCAATTATTTTTCATCTAGCATTTTTAGCAAGTTTCTAACAAGTAACCCATTTAATTTGCTTACATGGAAAAATAAAATAAAAACAAAATGCTAACATGTTATTTTTTTCATCTAACATGTTGTTTTTGTAAATTTTTTAGGGAGAAAAAATCAATTTTTTTACGTATTTCCAGATTATGTTGATTTCTTCTACGAATTTTCCAAAAAACACTGAATCTATTTTTCAATCGGTTGTGAAATAAGTATGTTACCGCTTGTGTGGTTTTTGAACTCATTTATTGACATTGGTATTGGTTTTGGTTTTGGTTTTGGATGGTGCGTTTATGAGGGTTCTTCGGTAGACACCTGAGGTTGAGGAGCTTGGAAAAAAACTGGGTAATAGACTAAGTGACAACGATGATCTGTATATTGTTCTTCATTTGAGGTATAATAACAACTAACACGACTTTTGATTTAATGTTTGAGGTGTAACTTAATTAACTGATTTCCTTTGAGTATTGATACGAAAAAGACATGCTTGCGTTTACTGGCTGCAGCTACAATATGACTGAAGTAGAAACTAAGGAACTTCGCGTTATGAGGTATAATGTGTAGTACTGGAAAGAGAAAGAGATATACAGCGAAGAAATGAGTCTGCTTTATGTTCCCGAGGGAAGCCGCCATGTTTCTAAAGGCGATGAGGTACCCCTTCACGACAAAAATATAAATTTTGCAGGGTAAATTTATGATAACAACATCACTTATGCATACCGCTTAGAATACCCCTACGTGTTTTCACACTCAACACTCGCAACAGATGAGGAGTTGGAATCTTTCAAGCCATATCAGAAATCAACATAATCTGGAAATACGTAAAAAAAAATTGAATTTTTTTAACGAAAGACGTGACAAAAACAACAAGTTAGATAAAAAAATAACATGTCACCATTTTGTTTTTATTTTATTTTTCCATGTAAGCAAATTAGATGGGTTACTTGTTAGAAACTTGATAAAAATGCTAGATGAAAAATAATTGGGAGTATAATAGTCTAGATGGACCATATTTTAATTCATGGTGCTAGATGAACAATCAATGTTAGTACATTGGCCTATTTAACACTTCTGCCAATTATATTTGATCCTCCTGCCAAAAGGGGATTTTACATGATTTTTGCATACGTGAGTCAGTGAGTGTACATTTGAAGGAGAAATACAGAAGAGAGAGAAGAAGTTGGGGTATTGTAGGAGGAGCTTGGTTTTTTCAGTTTTTTTCAGAAATTGTGGGTCCCATTGAAATAAAAGCCATTGCCTCATGCAGCGTGAGATGTGTTAGGACTTGTATTTACGGTAGACAAGAACTCTATTCTTGTACATGATAGACTGGGACTCTAGTCTTACTTCCTTGCTGTATATATCCTTTGTGTTATCATTCAGTTATGATTATCAATACAAACTACATTCATCTGGTATCAGCAGTCCCGGGTTCTCTATTCTTTTTCTCCCGATGGATCAGCAAGCCAGTAACGCCGCTGCCTCTTCCGAACAGACGATCTCGGTTCCAGGGGTGACGCCTCCTACGGCGAATCTCTCGCTTTCCACTGCTCACCATTTTTGTTTCGGTGAAGCTCACATCCCGCAACTATTTGTTCTGGCGGACTCAGTTGGTGCCTTTTCTTAGTGGCCAGGGCTTGCTTGGCTTCGTTGATGGCACGTATCCTTGTCCTTCTGCCGCTCCTGTCATTACTGCTTCTCCTGACGCTGCTGTGGTCGATTCTGTTGTACCCGACCCGTCTGTTGCTCGTGCGGCGTGGTTGCAGCAAGACCATGTAGTCCTTTCGATGCTAATCTCCTCTCTTTCGGAAGAGGTTATGCATCATGCGATGGGGCGGTCGACGTCTCGGTAGGTTTGGCTAGCAATTGAACGTGCTCTTGGGTCGACCACTCGTGCACGTATTCTCCGTCTGCTTGGTCAGCTGCAAAATCTTCGGCAAGGGATTGAGTCTGTGGCCGACTACCTTGGTCGTGCGTTGGTCATAGTCGAGGACTTGGCCTTAGCTGGTCGTCATGTTTCATTGGACGACCAGAATTTGTATGTTTTTCGCGGATTGGCTTAGAGTATCGGCCTCTTGCGGCGACTCTGACGACGGGTGAGCTTGTAACAACCCAAAATTTCAATTTATAAATCCGGTATTAAGAAATTCTAAAATAGCTTTTTGACTCCATTAAAAAAAATTTGCGATCAATCGGTGTGAGAATAAAATAATTTTCGTCACGTTTTGAAATTTATTCGACAACGAAGAAAATTATTTCTTTCGAAAATTCCAAAGTTTTCGGGTACTTCGCGTACCAAGATTTAAATCGAGAATTTTACCCGAGAGAGACCGGGAGAATTAAAAAGGGGATTTTGAACAAGTGTTCATCCATATAGCTTTTGGGAAGATTCACTTTTCACCCCAAAGTAATAAAGAAATAACACTTTTAGCCCATGGTTCATGTTGCAAGGTGGACCACAAGGCATCCAAAATATCATCCTGACTAATCTTTTGGCTAGTAGAATTACCTCTTTGCCCTCAACCAATCATTGTGTATCAACCTAGGGTTTTGAACCCTTATAAATAGAATGGTGTTGGCCTCATTTTCTCCTGACCTCTTCCTTGGCTGCCAACACCATAGTAGTAAGCTCTTCTCCATTCATTTCCTTCTTCTTTCATTTTCTCTGCATAACATCTCTTTAAGGTTTTAGACTTAGGCCTTGTGTGATTGTTTGAGATGTTTAGGTGGTGAAAGAAGTAGAGATCCTTGAGTAAAGTGGAGCTGAGAAACCAAGCAAGAAGAAGAGGTCTACAAGAGGTATAACCCCATGGATTCCTCTTTAGTTTTGGCTCTGTGAAGCCTAGTATTGAGTAGAAATGAGTAGAAACTATGAGTTCTTAATGTGTTTATGCTTGGAAGTGATCTATGATGTGTCTGTGATTTGTTGGAATTGTTTTGGAAGTGTTTGGACAAGATTTTGCAGGTAGAAATCCATCTGGTGCACAACACAGTGTGCACCAGACCAGAGTGGCGGCCCTAGCCGCGGCGCATCAGAAGGGCCACCGGCTAGAGCTGTGCCACCACGGGACTAGGGCACGGCCCATGGAGAGGGCCGTTGCCTAGTCCCGGTACTTTAACGGGGCTCATGGAGCGGACCATGAGGAGTCCCGCCCCAGGTCCCTAAGTTTGTCCTGATGAGATTTTTGTGTAGTGGTCGGGCTCTTGTGGCTCAGCTACGTGTCGTTTCGAACCGAGTGTTAAGGGCCCTTGTGGTTCGGCTCTTCGGGATCATCTTGACGCATTTTTTGGCTTTGGTTTCGTTGAATTTGGATTAAAAACGAGTATGCTATGAATGATTTTGTGAAGAAATGTGACACAGTGCATATTTTGCCTAACTCTCTGTATTTGAGAAATTGTTGAATTTGTAATCAGATAATGTTCTTGTTGAGTAAAGAAGCATGATCCTTTGAGAATATGATTTATTATGAAAGCATGATTAAATTGTATTATTTGATCCACGAGAATAGAAGCATACTTGTCGAGTGAAATGCATAGAATTTGCTATTTTGCAAACCGAGCATGATGATATATCCTTGAATACTTCATGTTAGTTTATACATGATTTAGAAGCATGATATAGAGCATTTTTGACATTTCACACGAGGCATATTTCAAAAGTGCATTAAGGACAAACGTGAGTCCAAAAATATTTTCAAAAACCAAAAGCATGTGGTATATCATTCTTTGATGCAATGAGAAATAGTAGAATTGTTGCATGCATGAGAGATATATTTATGTATTATCTATATCAGTGAGGTTTTGGAGGATACCGTTTGGACTATGTTCCTCTCGGGAAATATTTATGGACATTGCGGTCCCAGAGTATGTAACGCGGCGTATTCCCACATTACGAGGTTGGAAACTTCCCGCCAGGCTTGGAATCCTGGTAGGGGGTGTGCACACTAATAGTTCGATACCTGATTCCACAGAGTTTGAACCACGAGATTGGTTCCGTAGACGGTAAGAGATATTGGGTCGGAATTATACCGTTCCCGATGGGGTAAGTCACACTTCTGTGAAACCCTAAGCTGTCTACGAGTATAAGAGAAGGAAAGAGAGTCAACAGAGACTCAAGAAAGAAAATCAAAAGAGCCTCGATTATGAGAGTCAATATAGACTCGATAGAAAGAAAAAGAGTCAAGAGAGACTCTAGAAAGTAACAAAGAACCCTCCTGACAGGATAATAGGGCTGGCACCCGACCCGGATCACAAATGGGCATCTGACTCAGCATCACATGAGAACCCAACGGGCAGAAATCCAACGGTCAGGAATTCCAACAGGTGCCACCTTTACTGTCATTGAAGCCAGCATTGAAGCCCCCATTGATGTGAGAGAATTAAAAGCTTAGGCTCCCCATTTATGTCCCATGTTGTTACCATTAGGACTCTAGGTATAAATGGGGCTCTCCTCAGCTAGCAAAGGACACACTGTATTTTCTATACTGAGACAAAGGCAATACAACTATTGTTACTCTCTTATAACGTTATTATAGTATTATTATTACCGGTAACATTATTACCGTCATTGGTGCTCTCGTTGAGAGCCTGAGTCTAATACTCAAGCAGGCTACGACACACAGAACTCATTCCTCTTTCAACAGCAAGCTTGAAAGAATGGTGTCCCGCAGCTCCCATGGTTCCCGCAACGTGAACAATGGCAATGCCTCAGGTGACATCCAGGACCAGCTCACCAACAATCGCGGAGGGGACCTCCGAGAACAGCTCAACAACGGGAGGCCCGGGGACCTCCGAGAACAACTCAACGACGGAGGGGACCTTCGAGACCAACTCAACAATGGAGGGGACCTCCGAGACCAACTCCACAATGGAGGGGCGAACCAAGTCGTGAACCTCCAGGCGACCATCCAGCAAGCAGTGGCGGCGGCATTAAACCAAGTAGCGGTGGGACTACAAGGCCAAGTGCCCCCGACGCGGCCTCAGGAAATAGAAGTAGAATCCCCACGAAGGGTGGATACCCAGGATGCAACTTGTGCCGCGAGGGTCGCAGGGCGACGCACTAGGACCGGGGGTCCGGGAGAGGGCACCCAGAGAAGCGGACCGGCCGGACGGCAACCTAGGCCCTCCCGCTCTGCCTTAGAACGGTTGGGACACGGGGCGCCCGCTCGGCAAAGGCCAGAGTCGCATGCCGAGGGGTCCTCCGCTAGAGGCTTTCGCCGACACGAGGAAAGAGAAGCGGAGAGATCGCCCACAGAAAGGATGGGCGAGTCTCGTGGGCCGGCCTCGCGTCGGCAAGGTGACGAGTCGGCCCTGCGTTGACACTCGGATGAGCGACGCTTCGATGAACCGGCCCCGCGTCGGCACTCGGCGAAGCGACGCGTCGATGAGCCGGCTCCGTGTCGGCACTCAGCGGGCGAACGACGCATTGATGAGTGGGTTCCACACCGACACTTGGATGGACGAAACGTCGAGGAACCCGCTCCGCGTCGACACTCAGATGGACGGCACGTCGATGAACTAGCCCCACACATGGAGGAGCGGCAGCCGGCCCCGTGCCGGCATCCTGACGAGTCGGCCCTGGTCGAAAGGCTGCAGAAAAGGATCGAGAAGTTAGCAAGAAGGGTGGAGGCACGGGAGCAGTCGCCGGAACCCGAGGTACGAATGGCAGCACCGTTTTCCCCAAGCATCATGGACGTACCTCTACCGAGGGACTTCAGGTTAATCGCCATCAAGGCGTACACGGGAGCCACTTCAGGTATCCACATGACTAGGTACAAGGATGCTATGGTAATGATTGGGGCAGGGGACGCCATCATGTGCCGAGCGCTCTTGTCCACCCTGGATGGAACAGCCCAAGATTGGTTCAACACCATCCCGGACGGGTCGATCCAAAACTTTGGAGAGTTGTCCAAAAGCTTCCTAACATACTTCTCTGGTAGCATACATCGTAAGAAACCGTTCTCTCACCTCTGTGTAGTAAAGCAAGATAGAGGCGAAAGCCTCAAAGACTTCCTGATCAAATGGAAAAAGGAACTCAATAATGTCTATGACTTCGACTCCAAGGTGGCGATCCCCAAATTCTTCCATGCCTTGAGATCGGGGTATTTTCACAAGCAACTGAATGCCCACCACCCCCATTCTTACGAAGATCTGATGAGGATGACTAGCCGCTATGCCGAAGCGGAAGACGTCGACAGGAAAAAGAAAGATGAGGAGGACGGCAGGAAAAACGGGAAATCTGGGAAAGCTGGTCCGTCCAGCAAGGCACCACGTCCGAACCACCCGGCTGCAGGGAAAGGCCGGGACTATGAACAGCCTCGCCTGGTTCCCCTACGTAACCTAACTCCTCTTACCCATCCCGTCAGTGTCATCCTGAAACAGGCTGAGGAGATGGGAATAGTCGAGTTCCCACCAGAGTGCATGAAGGTCTCCACAAAAGGAGACCAAGCAAAGTACTGCAGGTTCCATAGGCAACCCGGGCACGACACGGATGAATGTAACGTGCTGAAGAGGCAAATAGAAAAACTCATCCAGCAGGGCTACTTCCGGCATTTTGTCAAGCGATCCAAGTAGCAGCAACAGCCGCAACACGATCCATCAAAAAATCCACCAAAAAATGTCTGGAGGAAGGAGGATGGCGCCGAACCGTCCACCTCGAACGCCAAGAAAAGAGAACATGACCAGATATCTGAGCAAGATGATAGCGAGAAGGAAACCGAGGTGGCGCCCAGACGACAAAAGAAGCACACCATACACTTTATTTGTGGTGGACCTGCGGGGGGCGACACACCCACAGAAAGGAAGAAGTGGAGTAGACAGCTGTACGTGGGAGAAGTGGTGAGTCTTCCCAAAGGAAAGAAGCAGAGGCGGGAGGCCATCACTTTCTCTGACGAGGACCTCCCCGAGGGTCCCTTACCCCATCGCGACGCACTAGTGATTAAGATGGACATCAATGATATGATCGTACATCGTATTTTGGCCGACACAGGGAGCTCAGTCAATGTGATGTACTACGACGCCTTCACCAAGTTAGGGCTACCTAGAGGCCAGCTCAAAGAGGTACGAACTCCACTCTCTGGGTTTACTGGGGACTCGGTAGAAATAGAAGGGTCGGTGATCCTGCCCGTGGAGATAGGCACGAGCCCCAACATCCGCAAGCTGGACATGGAGTTCATCGTGGTAAGACTCACTTGTGCGCACAACATCATACTGGGGAGGCCAGCACTGGAGGACCTCAAGGCCATGTTAGATAATAAATTTAGTCTAACATGAACGGTAGTAAATGAGTAACCTGCCTCGTTACAGCGGAAGCTTTAGGATCGCCCGGATATCCCCAGCCATAGTCGTTGGTATTGCCACGAGATGGTAAACCTGCAGAATAAAGGTTAGTGTCGTTTTGTCTACCACTTCTCTCCCGAATACGTGATGGTACGTGTCCTAAACTCGGGAGCTGTGGGAGGACTATTTTGCTTAGAAGCCTACATGCCATCAACATAGGCAGATATTCAGTTAAAGCTTAACTGAATATCCTGAGTTGCATAACAGATTAAGTCACTAATTGACTCAATCTCCTACTTGCACCACAGCCACCCAATAATACAATATATTATAATATATTGTATTTAGGGAAAATACTTACATTCTCCCACTTGGTGCAAGTACTGGCACAACCTTCATTAAAGAACAAAATACAAGAACCATAGTAATACGTCATCTACTAATCAAGTGAGTAGTATCTACTATGATCACATGCATTTAAATTCTCTAACTTAGGTTCTTTATTAACAAACCCTACGTTTATTCTTAGTCCCTTAATGGATGTTTCTCAAAATATATTATGTGCACAACTGAAGGAAGAAACCATCCAAATTCACTGTATGATCTCCAAAATCTTAGAAGCATGCCTTAAGTAGAGATCTTTTAATGTTAGCATAATGCTAACTATATTCTATGACTTGTTTATAAGTTAACATAAACACTACCTCTAACGGCTAAGAGCTTGGAGTTGACACGTCTGTCACTCCCACTCATTAAGATAGCCCAAAAGATAGTCAAGTCACAGAAACATTCCAATAACATAAACCATAAGGTCTAAGTCAATAATTTGGAATCTTAAACAGACACCAACTTCCCAAATAATCTCAAGGTCCACATCGAAATTAATTGAACATTACGAGTCTTATTATGTCTTACAAAATTGTTTTTGAGCCTTACAAACCAAAAATGGCCCAGGATCAATTTTGAAGAAACTAAAGACTATGTTAATTGCTACTAAAGAATTTATTAATTGGCAGTGCACCACAAGTTAAATGTTTTCATTCTAATAAATTCATTAATATTGTTACAACATTTTCATAAATATGTTGTACAACCAAACGTTCAATGAAATGAACTTATGAATTATAAGAACAAAAGACTAAATTAATACTTGTGAAAACTTTTGGACTTATTGCTAGACGCACAATCCAATTTGGAATGTATGAAAACAACTAAATCCATCAGCTTTAGTGGAGTATCTTAATGATCTTTCCTAAATGATCACTCCCACTGATTAAGATATTCTTTAGCCAAATTGATGATATAACACTCATAATTGATTTGACCAGCTAAATAATGAAGATATAATTATCCACCATTAGTTGGGCACACTAAATAATCAATATTTGGTTCCAATTATAGTCCAACTAAATGAATGATTAATGAGGACAAGATTCTCCACCATAGTTGGACATACTAAAATAATAAAATACGCCTTCCAAAACCAAGTTGGAATTCGGCTCAGAAAATATATTTTATTATTGGAATCCAAAAGAAGTATATCATACCACGCAACTTACTATAGTTAATCCAAATAACCAAGTAAGCTTCGTGAAAAAAAAAAATTAATAAAATGTGTATCTAAATTTTGGGAAGTGACTAAATACATGTTTTGCCAATGCAAACCACGAAACTTAGAATTATAATTGCACTAAATTTATAAATTCTAAGAAATTGAGATAAAGTTATTATCGAATGGGTTGATGAATTTATTAACATAAGACTTGCCTGTGGGCTAAAGCTTTAATTCTATTAAATTCAATTAAACACTTATGATAGTATTTTATCTCAATTACTAAATGGCCAGAAGAATCTAGTGACATAAAACTTGCCTGTGGGCTAAAGTTTTACTCAATAAGATCCAACTGAAATTTTATGATGAAACAATTAGCAAATGAGTTGAAGAATCAAGTGACATAAAACTTGTCTGTGGGCTGAAGTTTTAATTCAATTAGATTCATTACAACCATTATGACAAAAAAAAAACCACTTAAGAGATCATGTTCCTTATCTTAATCCCTGTGGGCAAATTAAGATATATGACCTAAAGTTTACATCATAAAATTAAGCTTCATGATAGAGATGAGAATTATTCATAAAGTAAGTAAAATTCTTTATTTCTATCATTACTGATAAAACTACTAAACTACATCCCGATACATAATTTCCTGTGGGCTAAATTATGATCATAGTTCAGTATTTCATCCTAATTAATCATACAAATATAACGAAATTGCCTGTGGGCTAAATTCCATCATATTACATACAATTAATCACAATTGATATGTCTAAAACTTTATATGACCCTAACATCTCAATATATAATTTTAACTGATTAAGGATGCTGTGGCTACTCCCCAACTAATTAAAATTATAAGATCACTAGACATTTATCAAATTTTATGTGATCCAACAACTCAATATATAATTTTAACTGATTAAGGATGCTGTGGCTACTCCCAACTAATTAAAATTATAGGACCACTAGGCATTTATCATTGCCATCTTTATGTGATTTGAACTTTAAGACAATTTTTAGTAAATTAAAGATGTTGTGGCTACTCTTTAATTAATCTAGAAATTGTAATCACTTGGCAAAAGGGGAAGTTAAAGCCTAACAAACGAATTAAACCAAGCCTAACAAACGAATTAAACCAACACATGATAGCCAATTCCTTAGACAGAGTAGCGTCGCAAGGGGAATAGTAGCAACAAGGCTTTTAAGCCAGGGCCATAGAACTAGTATTCCTCCCCAAGAAACTTCCCTAAGTCATGTGTTCTCATGTTTGAAGTAAAATCGTTTGGGAGATCTGTACAATTGTAGATTCACTTATGGATAAGGCTTTAAATTGATGAACTAAATTAGCGGACTAAACGTGCTTAAATTCAGGCACTACCGCAGCTAAAGTTTATGCATAGGTCCAACTTAATAAGGAACTAATATAATTCCATCCTAAAGTATGCACTTCTAAAGGCATAGTAAAATTGCATAATTTAAAAAAAAAAACAGAATATTATGCGGTGGACAAGTATGCATAAAATCAAACATTAAACTCATATATTCTAAATAAATTGCATAAACCAAAACAATTTTAAATATGAGCAATAACCTCAAATATACAATTAATATTCAAAACAAGTATGACTTCTAACCAAAAGAAATCCAAAATTTGAATAATAATATAATAGATATATACTTTGAAAGGTTAAAAACTAGCCCACGTGAAAATGTTTTAATTGCATAAAATCAAATTTGTGAGAAGCAGGCTGAATTCACAAATATCAAGCCATAGTATATGTTTATTCGTAAATAAAAAACTCACAAATCCTAATGCATAATTAAACTTAATGTTATGCACTTAATGTGATTAAAGGCATAAAACAATCTAAAAGTATGAAAAAAACATCAAATGTGTATTCAATTTTTCATACTTAACTAAATATGGGCAATAACATCTAAGGTCATAATTCAAATACTAAATAAATTATGTGATAGATTGCCAAGAAAACATGTTTTTCCAAAAACTGAATTGATTAAAAAATCACTCTCCAAAACTCAATTAATGATATTATTAATGGCAGAAAATCGCAAATAAACCAAAAAAGCAATAAATAGCAATAATAATAGTATTATGTTAATTTGGAGACTAAATATGAAAAACAATAGTTAAAACTGTTAAACTTTAAAACATTTTTGGATATAACTTTAAAATGTGATAAAACTTAAGTCCGAAAATAAATGTCACATAAATCAATTTGGAAACAATTCATGTCTTAATACCATAAAAAAATAATGTTATCATTAATTAAAATATTAATAGTAATAAGGAGCATTATAATCACTATGAACATTTTTAATAATGACAAACATGGTAATACATATCTTAATGTTTCCATATTCTTAAGGATAAAATGTGACTAGTTCAAAATGGTTAACAGCTATAACAGTAGTTACCAATAATAATAGTAAAATGTAATTAATGATTTGCGTACCTCAATATGATGCAAACTGCATCTATCGATAGCACTAACAACGAAGAAAACCTCCAAAATCTCCCATCTTCACGGAGTGTTTAATTGAATCGCCCAATGGTACGCAACAGTTTATTGGTAAGAAAATGAAGTGACATGGGTAATCTTACCAATGTACCAAATATAGTAGATTACCATGAATTAATAATTATTATGAAAGGTAATAAATGAGATTAGCCCCTCAACTTAATATAACAGTAATCATTAATGTAAATTAACAATAACCACAATAAATGTAAAACTGTAATTAAGGGATGCTAAATACTAATCTCAATTTACCACATAATAATTAATCAATACAGTAATGAGTCCGAGATTAAAATTAAGGTATAACCAAATTACCAAAAAAAAATGTAAAGGCAACATAACTATGTACATTGCTTACCATTAAGAAAACAGAATATTATTGTTAAGGCCCTTAAAACTATTAATAGATTAAAACATAATCATCTTAAATAACAGTTATAATTCTTAATGGCCAAGACAATAATTATAATTCTTAATAGCTTCAAATGGTAATTGTAATCCTTAAACCCTTAATGACTCAAAATCACGCAATGATAATAATTATAGTACAAAATTGCTTAAGTCAGGCCCATGAACCTTAATGTCCCAAGTTAATTATAACATGAATGATAAATGCTCTAATATGGAAATAGATCCAAACATTATATTATCACCAACGATAAATACCGTTAACAAAATACGGTAGTTAGTAATAATTAAAACTTAATAAACATGTTATAAGAAAAATAAAAAAATGTGCTACAATTATTATTAACATATCAATCAAAGAGGTGGAATCCATACTTAAACGACCCATATAGGTCCTAAATAGCTTGTTCAAAATAGGTTTTAAAAGTCCCAAGTGAAAAATAGGACTAAAATATGCTCAAATTAAATGAGAAACCAACAAGCTGTCTTAATAGGCTATATTGTCCAAAATTAACCTAAGGATCCAAAATTGAATGACATTTAATATAACGACTACGAATTAATAATATGCTATATCCAATCTTAATATATGCTTTTCTAAATGTACAATTATAATGAAATAATTTATGAATATACAAAGCATGATTGGATTTTTGCAAATTAATATATTATTAACTCATAAATACTAAATAAATTGCAATAATTCAAGCAATTTAATATACACATTAATATTAAATTAAATTAAAATTCAAGCAGCAAATTTAATACTTAATATTTGCTCAAAAATAAATAATAATTATTTAATTGTGACAAGAATTACTATAATAATAATAATTCAATCACAAATAATGTCACAATTAATCTGAACTCAATTTAAAATTTTTAATGCCAAAATTAAGAGATTAACTAAAGGGCATTATTATTTCAAAATTAAACAATTACTAATATTTACCATTTGCTTAAACAATATAATTTACAATATTAATTAAGGTAATATTAATATGGTAATATTAAACCAAATAATCACCATTTACCAAAATTAATATATATAAACATAATTATTAAAGATAAAGCAAATATTAATATATGGTAAATAAAAGCAATTGCTCCTTAAATAAAGGCCTACCAGGAAGAGGAAGTCGTCGATTTCCATGGATGAAGACGCCGTCCGAAATTTGAGGAGCAGTGACGAGCCGCAATCGGCCGTCCGTCTTCTTCCAACAGCGCACCATCCAACATACCAATGTAGCTGGAAAATCAGCGCCACTACCGACAGAGAAGCAGGCCGCTGTCGTTTCATCGCGTGAAGGGAAACAGCAGGCCACCGCCGACGTCACGCCGTCGCCCACGCAGAGCTCACCGTCGTTGCGCATGGAAACCGGCGACTGGAGAGAATCTGTTGTCCCTCTGATGCGGTGCCGACGGGAGAAAAGAGACACCGCCTGCCGTTGCAGCCCGCTACCCGCCGACAACCGCCGCCTGCAATACTCGCGCCGCTTTCTTCAACTTGCAAGACAAGAGCAAGGCCGCCACCGCCGACGGCCATAGGCACATTGCTGTCGTCGCACCGTCGTTCTCCATGGCACCCAGAAACCTCAGCAGCGAAGAACCAAAACCAGCTCCGAGGTGCGCTCCGAACCAGTCGCGGAGTCATCTACGCCTGAAGGAGGAGAGGGTGCTGCGACGCCGTCTCACCTTGTTGCAACGCCAAAGCCTTGCCGACGTCGATCCAAACTTCAGCGCCGTCGCTCACCGCCGGAGACCGAAACAGGCAATTAACAAATTCCTCGTAGTTGCTCAGAAAAGTCACAAAAAATTCCAGAAAAATAAAAGGAATTAAAATTGTGCATATGCCAAAAATAATTTTTAGCAATCTAAATATAATTCTTTTGAAATATACACAAATTATTATATCATGCAACCTAATAGATATATGTATATTTCGAAAAAAAAAATTAATATACAAAATATATACCAAGAACTCAATGTATATATAAAAAAAAATTAATGTTGATTAAGGCAAAACAATCAACCAGGCAGAGATTCATATAGGCTCTTGATACCAAATGTTAGATAATAAATTTAGTCTAACATGAACGGTAGTAAATGAGTAACCTGCCTCGTTATAGCGGAAGCTTTAGGATCACCCGGATATCCCCAGCCATAGTCGTTGGTATTGCCACGAGATGGTAAACCTGCAGAATAAAGGTTAGTGTCGTTTTGTCTACCACTTCTCTCCCGAATACGTGATGGTACGTGTCCTAAACTCGGGAGCTGTGGGAGGACTATTTTGCTTAGAAGCCTACATGCCATCAACATAGGCAGATATTCAGTTAAAGCTTAACTGAATATCCTGAGTTGCATAACAGATTAAGTCACTAATTGACTCAATCTCCTACTTGCACCACAGCCACCCAATAATACAATATATTATAATATATTGTATTTAGGGAAAATACTTACAGGCCATAGTATCGGTGGAACACTTGTGTATGAAGTTCCCTACTCCGAATGGAATAGGAGTCGTCAGAGGCGACCGACGGGCAGCCCGCAGTTGCTACGTGAAGGCATGCAAGAAGATTGGCAATAAGGACCTACAGATCCACACGATCGCGAAGAAAATTTTCAAAAAAGAAGAGGCCTGGCCCCGCGCCGAGCCCGTGTCAGAAACGGAAGATATAGTTCTGGATCCCTCCAGACCAGACCGAGTGGTGAAGATCGGCACAGGCTTAAGCCCAGAGCTAAGGGCCCAGATAGTGGATGTAATTCGCCGTTCCCACACGGTGTTCGGATGGGGCCCAGAGGACATGCCGGGCATAGATCGAAAGATCATAACCCACAAGCTCGCAGTCGACCCTAGCGGAAAACCAGTGCACCAGCGAAAAAGGTATATGTCGGTAGAACGAAGAGAGTTCGTGAAAAAGGAGGTGACCGCGTTACTCCACGTAGGGCACATCAAGGAGATTTACTACCCACAGTGGCTGAGCAACGTAGTCTTGGCTCCCAAAGGATCAACGTGGAGGATGTGCGTGGACTACACGGACCTCAATAGGGCATGCCCTATGGACCGTTTTCCACTGCCCAATATAGATCAATTGGTGGATGAGACGGCAGGATGTGAACTCATGAGCTTCATGGATGCCTTCCGTGGGTACCATCAGATATCCATGCATGAGGAGGACGCCGAGAAGACCGCTTTCACCACTCCCGAGGGGATATTCTTCTACTTGGTCATGCCGTTCGGATTGAAGAATGCCGGGGCCACATACACTCGCATGGTGGCAAAGCTGTTCAAAACAGTACTGGGACGAAACATGGAAGCATACGTGGACGACATGATCGTCAAAAGTCGCAAGGCCACATCCCATGCCGAGGATCTCAGCGAGGTATTTTCCATTATGAAGAAATTTAATTTGCGCTTGAACCCAAAAAAATGCACCTTCGCCGTTGAAGGGGGCAAATTTTTGGGCTTCATGGTCCCTAGGAACGGCATTGAGCCGAATCCAGAAAAGGTAAGGACTATTCTTGACATGGAGCCTCCGCGGTCCATAAAGGAAGTCCAGAGACTCAACGGGCGTCTGGCGGCCTTAGGCCGTTTTCTATCTAAATCGGCTGAACGTTCCCTCCCCTTCTTCCAAATCTTGAAAAAGAGCAAAGGGTTCGAGTGGACGCCAGACTGTCAAAAGGCCTTCGAAGAATTGAAAAAATACTTGTTGTCCCCGCTCCTGCTTGCAAAGCCAGAGGCAGGTGAAGCCCTAATCTTGTACTTGGGCGTGTCACAGGGTGCGATCAGCTCCGTGTTGGTCAAAGTAGAAGGAGGGACTCAGCGTCCCATCTACTACGTAAGCAAAGCCCTACACGACGCGGAGCTCCGATACAGTGTGTTGGAGAAAACAGTATTTTCCATAGTCACTTCATCAAAAAGGTTGGCTCACTACTTTCAAGCTCACCCCATCCACGTACTCTCACACCAGCCGTTGGGGAGCTTCCTCCGGAATACTAACAGCTCCGCCAGGATGGCGCGATGGGCCATGCACCTCAGTCAGTTTGACATAGATTTCAAACCAAGGCCCGCCATCAAAGGCCAAGCTCTTGCGGACTTTATAGTGGAGTGCACAGCTCGGGAAGTGACGGACCAAGTAGAAACCGAAGATGGAGGGTGGTGGACCTTGTCCACAGACGGTTCTTCCAACAGCAAAGGTTACAGCGGCGGCGTAGTACTCGTCACTCCGGAGGGATTCCGCGCCTACTATGCCATCCGGTTCCACTTCAAGTTATCTAACAATGAGGCGGAGTACGAGGCCCTCCTCAATGGACTACGGGCTGAAAAGGTCCGGATTCGATGCGATTCCAAGCTGGTAGTCAGCCAGGTGTCTGGGGAGTATGAAGCCAACGAAGGAAGCATGCAGAAATATAGAGACGCGGTGCTGAGAACCCTGCGCGAGTTTGAGGGATATGAGATACACTAGGTACCGAGAGAGCAGAACGCCGACGCTGACATGCTCTCAAAGCTAAGTACCAGAGTCCCCAGCCACATTAGGAAAATCGCTCGACTAGAAGACCTCGAGACTTCAAGTATCAACGTTTCGTGGGTCTTCCCTGTGCAGACTAGGGAGCCATGTTGGATGGATCATATCAAGCGATACAAGGCAGATGGCACCCTACCGCAAGACGAGGCAGACGCAAAGGTAACAAAGTTACGGGCACCCAGCTACGTTATCTCGGGTGATAAGCTGTACAAACGCTCCTACAATGGCACTTTACTGAAGTGTCTATATCCAGATGAAGCCAAGCTGGTGATGAAAGAAGTCCATGAGGGGGTATGCTCCGCCCACCAAGGAGCGTACACCATTGCACGACGCATCATGTTACAGGGGTATTTTTGGCCCAAAATGCTGAGGGACTGCGCCGAGTATACAAAGCGATGTCCCAAGTGCCAAGAATTCCAGGCACTACCAGGTCGACCTGCGACGAATTACACCCCAGTAAGCACCGCGATTCCCTTTTCAAGATGGGGAATTGACCCGGTAGGGGCCCTTCCCACGGGGACTGGAAGTAGGAAATACATCATCGTGGCCATCGACTATTTCACGAAGTGGGTGGAGGCCGAGCCCGTGGCAAGCATCACCGCAGCAAGGTGCAAAAGGTTCGTCGAGAAAAATATCCTTTATCGTTTCGGTATCCCTCTCCAGGTAATCACAGACAATGGTCGTCAGTTCGAGGCACGAGAATTCTCAGAATTCTTAGCAGGATGGGGCGTTAAGCATAGCCGGGTGGCAGTATCTTATCCTCAGGTGAATGGGCAAGTGGAGAATGCGAATAGAACCATCCTCGATGGCCTCAAGAAAAAGCTAGAAAGTGCCGGCGGAGCCTGGGTGGAGGAACTCGACGGCATCCTCTGGGTCTATCGCACGACACCAAGAAGGGCCACCGGAGAAACCCCGTTCGCACTCGCCTATGGATTCGAAGCTCGGGCCCCGGTGGAAATAATCATACCTAGTAGAAGGGTGGAGGAGTTCGAGTCAGAACAAAACGAACTCCACCAAAGGGTGGATCTGAACTTTTTGGATGAAAAGAGAGAAGCGGCATTTTGCAAGATGGAGAACTACGGTCGTCAGCTAAAGTCCTACCACGACGCAAAAGTCCGATCCCAGTATTTCCAAGTCGGCGACCTTGTGTTGCGGAGAAGGGAAGCCAGCCAACCCCTTGAAGGGGGAAAATTCGCAAAGAAATGGGAAGGGCCTTACGCCGTGGAAGAAGTCGTTCGCCCAGGAACATACAAGTTAAAAACTACAGGGGGAAGAATGATCGAACGGGTATGGAACTCGGAACATTTGATCAAGTACTTTCCTTAAAAATCCTGTAGTAGCAATCATTGGAACTAGTACTTGGTAATCGCAGTCCGTCCGCTCTACATGCTAAAGTTCTCTGAAATAATATCTTATTTTCATGGTCTGAAACAAGTTCGTTATCATCTTTTACGAAACTTTCTGACCATGTTGTAAAAAAAAAAGAAAAAAAAAAAAAAAAAAAAAAAAGCTCGGATGGCCTCTACGGTTTGGCAAAAAAAAAAAAAGAGAGCGAAGCTCGGATGGCCGAGGCACACGTCTCGGCCACGGTTTGGCCGAGGCACGCCTCGACCAACGCCGAGTCCGTCTCGGCAAAAAAAAAAAGAAAAAAAAGAAAAAAAGAGGCAACATGTTTATTCCGAAGTAACTGGTTTATTTCGAATATTCTAAAATAGTAGCAAGTTGTTCAAACACAGAAAGCAAATTGTTCAAAGACATAGCTAGAAAGCAAGGGAAAA